GATTTTGGGAATTTTCCGCTACGAATTTGGACATGATTCCTTCACCAAAGTTGTAGATAATGAAGTCTTCTATCCACCAAAACTTGAATGACGTGATTTTATTCATCCAATCAAACGTTATGGCTAAAACACTGAGAGGTATGCATCCTGAAATCCCACCAGCAACATCTGACTTTGTTGGTTGATTGAGTCTTGTTCCTTTCATATTTTGGCCATGACGTATTCATAACATTTGTTCCTTATTGAGTTAGCGTTCACATGAAACTCGAATCGAGTGATTTCGAGTTCTGTAGAATAAGTTATACTCAAATTATGGGCAGAACGTCATTCTCTTGGTCTAAAAAGTCGTTCATCGCAATGTTTTATGCTCTAGCTCTCATTCTAGAGGTATTTTCCCGATTTCTCTTCCTTTCTTCAACAAATACTTATAAATACTTATGTTAAACACAAGTAAATATAACGGCTATCAGTATACCTGCTTTTTTTATTTAAAGAGAAATTTTTTTTGTTCTTTTTTAGTTAATCTTTTAATGAGAGTACATGAACAAAATAAAAAATTTTAACATAAGGAGTGAAAACACATGTTTATATAGTTTAGTTTAGTTCACATAGGTATTGTTAAAAACATAAGTTATTTCCCTTTATAAAATCCATTTTTGGTATTATGTAACACGTTGAGCATTGTGAATCAAATGCATTTTCACTCTTTCTTGGGTAGTCATTTAAGAACACTATGATTAAAGGCCGGGGGTGAAAGAAGTGCAGATTTTGTACTTGAATAAATAATGCATTTTTTCTTTCCTTTTGGTATACCTGTTTTTCCTTCAAATCTTCTTATTCTAAGCATTCTTTCTAATATTCTCCATTGCGTTTGGTTCAGTGCACACTCCGAAAATACTCTTCTTATTCTTAGCATTCTGTCCGATAAATCCGATTTTGAGGAATATACCAGTCTTCCCTCTCTCGACTAATCATCCTCTTCCTCTTTCTACAGAGAAACTCCAAAGAGTCAATTTCTTTATTTCAGTGAACAATAACCCTCCTTATTCTTCATTAGTATTAGTTTTCTTGTTGTATCTTTATCAAGAAGTATATCTGTAGCATTTCACATACTATTCACACACACATTTTTCACAGAAAGCAGACCTTCCCAGGCTTAGCTGTGTTAAACTGCCTGTGAAATTAACCCTTTTCTACTTTCTACCCATTGTGTTGTAATATATTGCTTATATAATTGCAATGAATCCATACAAAGTTCTTTCAAAGAATGTCTATTTGCAATTGTATGACAAGGCTCTACTTTTGCAGAGAGTTGTGACTTCCTTGAGCAAGTGGATTGTCCCTCTAAAAAAAAATCATCCTAGACATATGCGTCGTATATGGTTGAGACGATCTTGATGGACTAGGAGGTACATATATTATGATCTCATGTTTATATGAATTTATTTTAGTTTGTATCAATTCAGTTCCAAATGAATTCAGTGTGCGCTTATATGAATTTATGGCTGGTCGGTATTTCGGTTTCTATAATAGGGTAGTGCTACTCATGGGTTTTCCAAAATTCTGCAAGGTTGCATTACTTTTCTACTTATTGGAGTATCATAAAAGAGTGCATTTTACACTTTTGAAGAAGTGGATTCAATAAAGAGTTTAGAATCTAACTTTTCCAGGTATGGGCTGGGTTTTTCCAGGTCAACCGGGTCTTGGCCATTTCCGAGTTTTTAAACACCCTGACCGGATGGTATAGCAGATATGAACGTTGCAGCGTTGTTAAAGGAAAACAGAGAAGAATGGAATGCCCAAAGGGTAGAGAAAGTCTTTGGGGAGGAAGAAAGGCAGCGGGTTTTGGCAATACCCATAAATGGGAGAATTCCAGATGAGTTTTGGTTCAAAGGGGATGTTAAGGGTGCCGTATACGGGGAAGAGCGGGTATAAAATGTTGCGAGGAGAGTCTATTAATTACCCACAAGTGGCTGGGATGGACTAAGATGTGGGGATGCTCTATACCGCATAAAATCAAGCATTTTGCTTGGCAGTTAATGTCTTAATGACGGGAATGCTATCTACTGTGCATAACTTGAGAAAAAGGAGGGTGGTGGTAGAGGATTTATGTTGTTTTTGTAAAGAAACACCTAAATCATAATTACACTTATTCCAAGGCTGTCAGACGAGTATGGTGGTGTGGGATAAACTTGGGATTAGGTTTCGTAGGAGTGCAGACACCTTATGGCAGTACAAAAAAGGGGTGGCTATGCTCAATGGATGGCGTGTTTGCATTTTGTATTTGGACAATATGAGATGGCTTCAAAATGTAAACTGTGACTTTTTATGCTTTGAAGTTCTACATCTATTATGATGCACACTTTACATTTTGTTATAGTAACATGTGTATTCCCTATATAAAGGTCCAATTATTTTATAATTTAAAAAAAGCATGTGGAAACTTCGTTTATAACCCTGCTAAAGAACTGCACTCAATAAGAACATATAAGGATTTTATTTTTCCTTCTATTCTATAATCTACTACTACTGACACTATTGTAGATGTGGATATGGATAGTCAATCACTAACTTATTCTGCTATTAGGCTATTAGCATTTACATTAATAATGATTTTTTATTTTGATTTATATTTATTGCAATGAGAATATCCAGAAACTACTAATGTTGTACTAGAATTAAGCAATGTGTAAAAGTTGTAGCTTTTGGATTTTGGAGGTTGTCTGTGCAAAGTTGGCCACTTGGGCTACGATCATGACAAAATAGTGACGTTTCTGTTTTTCATTGCATCATCAAACATGAATACCGGACACTTCAGAACAAAACATCTCACGATGATGATGATTGATTTAGAAGACCCCTCAGGAGTGATGATTTTTGAGGATATCTTCATATTCATACACAATTTTTTATTCTCCTGAAAACTGAAGTTAGAAAAAGTCCAATAATGTCTTTATTATTGGGGTATTCGATACTGGATTGGTTATAACTTATAACTAATAGTTAGCTTTATTAACTTCAAAATTAATTAGATATGGGTTTCTAATATTACACTTAACTTATTATTGGGTCATAACTCATAAGCTATTTTTTATCTTTTAAAAAATTATGGCTCAAAATGAGCACTACCTAAGCAGACATGAGAGAGTGGATGTTTTAAAGTTCATTGTGGATGTGGTGTTTGTTCTACAATTTTCGTTAATGCCTAATATCACATTCATTTATTTTTTCTAATTGATGCAACCAATTCATTCTAAGTTTTTTGAAGAAGGTTTATTTATGTGGAGTGACTGTCTAATGATCCCAATTGTCCTGAAAAATATTAAAAATGGATGTCTGAAATCTGATATTACGTACATTACAACACTAAATAAATTATGGCTCAAAATGAGCACTACCTAAGCAGACATGAGAGAGTGGATGTTTTAAAGTTCATTGTGGATGTGGTGTTTGTTCTACTATTTTCGTTAATGCCTAATATCACATTCATTTATTTTTTCTAATTGATGCAACCAATTCATTCTAAGTTTTTTGAAGAAGGTTTATTTATGTGGAGTGACTGTCTAATGATCCCAATTGTCCTGAAAAATATTAAAAATGGATGTCTGAAATCTGATATTACGTACATTACAACACTAAGTTTACTCAATATTGTTTAACTTGCATAAATTAATTTTAGTAGCATTTTTGTTAACTTGCTATCTCGTGCAACGCACGGGTAAAAGACTAGTAGTAGGGAGTAAAAAGCCAAAAGGTTAAAGTATTTCCATAAAAAGAAAGTATGAAAGTATAAATGTTACTCCGGTATAAGTTTTATACAAATATAAAAATTAAATGGAATTTTATTAATTTAGAACTCGAAAGAAAGATAGAGAACTATCAATCCGGGACTCGAAAGAAGAAATGTATCGGTATAAGACTTGAATGGTGGAAAATTATTAATATAGGACCTAACATTTCATATGTTTTGATATATTTAATTTTTTACTAATTTCATTGCTAATTTTTATAAACTTTTTTTAACAAAAGTTTATTAGTTTAATAAAACTAAATAATATTTAAATGATTTAAATTAAAAGTAATAATAAAATTCATGACAACTTAGGTCCTAGATTGATAATTTTCGATCATTAGATCCTAAATTGATAGTTTTCCATCATTCAGATCAATACATTTCACGTTTCGGGTCCTGGAATGACAATTTGTTTATTTCTCAGGTTCTAAATTGATAAAAAAAATATTATTGAAAATTTTAGTCACATCCTGACTAGTCGTCATCCTCTTATTTGATATACTCATTCAAAAAAATATCACATTTGATCTGATACACTCATTCAAAAACAGCTTACTCAAAAAATAATGGGGTAATTTGAGTTTGCACCCCATATTCTTGTCTAAATTGGACTTTGCACCCCATTTTTAAAACTCTTTGTTATTGCACCCCAACCCCATATGAAAAGACAAAAAAGCCCCTCCATTAACAATTCTGTTGACCTTTAACATATTCGTGATTGAGGGCATTTTTGTCTTTTCATATGGGGTTGGGGTGCAAAAACAAAGAGTTTTAAAAACGGGGTGCAAAGTCCAATTTAGACAATAATATGGGGTGCAAACTCAAATTACCCCAAAAATAATCGCCATGTTGAAGAAATTGGCTTTTAAAATAATACTCAGGCAAGAAATTAAATCTAACATAACAGCATAATAGAAATTATCATGTTGAATTTCAACTACTGCCTATTGGATCCTAAATTTATTCGATGGCAAGGTGTAACGTTCAATTTTTCCGTTGAAAACTTTTCTGAAGATTGAAACCTCATCAAATTTTATTTTTTTTGATGAAAATTAAAACCAGTCTCTTCTTTCATTGATTTTTCGTTTGGCGTTTTGGTGCTCCGGGCTTGTGTCCCACATGTTTAGATCCGGTACGTTGTGGCCAAGAATTTTGTTGTCTTGTTTTTTCAATTGACGGTTACGTTTGTGGCTAGTTGGTCAGATTAGTTTTGAAGTGGCTGATGAGAGAGCCTCTCTTTCCGTTGTGGCCAGAAAAGCTTCGAAGAAACCTATTCGTGCTCTTTCTTTTCGTAAACAAAGATCGTGGTTTGGGGAATTTCAATTGATGAGATGGGTAATTCCAAATTCCTTTTACAATTTTACATCAGAGCAGAGTCATTAAGGAAAGACTTTGGTCTTTCAAATAAAATTTAATGGCTATTAGGTGTGTGGAGCTTACTGACAGACTTCTTGAAGTTCCACTCGATCATGCTGATTTTTGGGTTGAGGTGTACAACTTACCGTTAGGATATATGACGAAAGGGGAAGTCTGAAGGATTGTCAACAGCATTGGGTTGTTTGTGCAAGTGGATGAAGGCTCTCTTGGTGGGAAGCAAGGGTTGGTTCTATGTATTAAAATCACTATCAATATCAATGTGACTCTGACCAGGCGCCTGCAAGTCCGGTTGGAGGGCAATAAATGGATATGGCAAACTTTCTATATGAGAGATTTTCATACTTCTACTTTTTGTGTGAGCTCCTTGATCATGCAAATTTTATGTGTGACAAACTTTATGTCATTCTAACTGACACAGCGTCCCTTGGATTGGTGAGGAACCTTACAGACTATGGTTACGGGTTAATACGGGGCGGGGACGCGGGGTGGTGCACATCCAGCAACAGGTGGCTAATACCTAGTAATAGTGGGTCAGGGGACAAAATAAATGTTGGGGTGGCCTCAGAGAGAGTTCCAATTGAGCATGAAAGCTACGTAGTGAAAGGTCTTCTCTCGAAGGATAAGGAAGTGAATGCTATTCAGGAACAATCAAGAAAATGCAGGGTCATTGAGTTGGTTAGCGAGGAGTGGTTCCAAGTAAGTATGGATGTGGATGAAGCAAATCCAAAAAAATTGCAAGTGACGGTGTTGTTTGGAGAGCACCATAAGTAATCGGTGATTTTGGTGGTATATAGGAATAGGAGGAATTTTTGGCGAGGCTGGTCAAACCGCTGTCTCCTTGCAAGAGGTAGGAAAAACTTAATAATGTCCTTTTATTTTTTTATTGTCTCGGAACTCTGTTATCTTTTATGTTTTCCCTTTTAGTAGCAGATGCAACATTGGTGTTAATGGAATCTATCATATTGCGGGTTAATGAATTGGACTGTTGTTAGACATGATTCTTGCTCTGAAGCTCATTCCAGTGTAATCTTTGATATGACGACTTTGTATCTACTTCTGATTTTGAATTTTTTCCCGAAATTATTTTTGACGCTGCATTATTTTGAGTGTTATTTATTTAATTAGTATTATTCCGAGGAAAAACTCATTGATTTTTAATAATATTCAAGTTTTTTTTTTTAAAAAAACGATCGTTCGTATTCATTTATTATGCATATTGAATGAGCGACTAATTCTACTATAATCCATCTTTCCTCTTATTCCAAAATTAATTCTACTATAATCCATCTTTCATCTTATTGAACGACTTAGTTCTTGTCTCTTAATTAATAACCACTTGTTACACATCATTTATCTTTATTATGGAGTATTTTACTTCAACTACGGAGTATTATGGAGTATTTTACTTCAAATATGGGGAAAGTTCCCAAAATAGGACTAAAACAGTTTGAAAATTCTAAAATAGGACTGTAATGTTTTTTATTCCCAAAATAGGAGTAATTACTGCCAAGTTTGGAAAATACTGCCATATTTGAAGTCTGATACTACAACAACATGACAGTAATTAGTCCTATTTTCGGAATAAAAACATGACAGTCTTATTTTGGAATTTTCAAACATTTTTAGTCTTATTTCAGGTAAATTACAGTCCAACTAAAAACATCCCACTTATTTTAGAACTTCGAACTCAAAACTCTCACACTAGAAGAACTTCCCTCGGGATTCCCAAACACACCTAAAGGGGTAGCGAATTAGGATAGCCAAGACCCAAGGATAGGCATACATTTTTGAAAGCTGTTTAGACAGAACAAGAGAAAATTGTATGTTCATTTTTATCCCAAATTGAATTAATTAATTAATTAAGTCTCTCAATTGTCTCATGCTCTTTTTCACGATCGACCAAGAGAGTCGTTGAGAGGTCCGACAAAATCTGGAAAGTTTTCAGGAGGAGACAGCAGTAGGTGGTCGGCGGGAGGATCAGTTGTGAGAGCATTTTGATCCCATCACAATTCACAAATATAAAGTCTTACTTCCTCCATTATTTTTTCGTTTATGCAAAACTTTGACTGTCATTATATTTAATTCTATATTAGTAAAAATAATTAAAAATCATTTTATTCCTCCGTTATTTTTTCGTTCATTCTTTTTTAGTTTCATGTTTAGTGATGCAAAACTTTAATTCTATATTAGTAAAAATAATTAAAAATCATTTTATTCCTCCGTTATTTTTTCGTTCATTCTTTTTTAGTTTCAATGTTTAGTGATGCAAAACTTTGACTGTCATTATATTTAATTCTATATTAGTAAAAATAATTAAAAATCATTTTATTTTAATGAGACGAGTTCAACAGTATCTTTCAAAAAATATAATTCTAAATAAAATATAGTCAAAGTACATTAGAATACATGAATAGTGTGTAATTTGCCATGTTAAAACTAATGCGATAAGGAGACTACTGCGATACGGAAGATAGTATTTACATGTGATTAAACTAATTAATCCTATTTTGAAAAAATCACACAACCGGCATCAACCATAGGAAAATTAACAGAGTATACATGAAATAGGAACAAAGAGTTCGACCACATAATAAGAATTATTGTACTCCGTATATCAATAAAAGAATCACAACCGACAATGAGAACAATAATGAACACTGTGAGATATAGGTATAATCACATCTGAAACGACGATTTTATGCTTATATCCTACCTATTCTGTCCATCCTAACTCTGATCATCAGAAACTATGAAGAATAATTTCCAAACAAAACGAAAATAAGTACAGATACTGCAAAATAATCAAAGCGTGAGAATCGGAATAGAAGTTATAGTCACGGATTTTAGTCCGTGAATATAAGTACAGATCAATAGTGGGTCAGGGGACAAAATAAATGTTGGGGTGGCCTCAGAGAGAGTTCCAATTGAGCATGAAAGCTACGTAGTGAAAGGTCTTCTCTCGAAGGATAAGGAAGTGAATGCTATTCAGGAACAATCAAGAAAATGCAGGGTCATTGAGTTGGTTAGCGAGGAGTGGTTCCAAGTAAGTATGGATGTGGATGAAGCAAATCCAAAAAAATTGCAAGTGACGGTGTTGTTTGGAGAGCACCATAAGTAATCGGTGATTTTGGTGGTATATAGGAATAGGAGGAATTTTTGGCGAGGCTGGTCAAACCGCTGTCTCCTTGCAAGAGGTAGGAAAAACTTAATAATGTCCTTTTATTTTTTTATTGTCTCGGAACTCTGTTATCTTTTATGTTTTCCCTTTTAGTAGCAGATGCAACATTGGTGTTAATGGAATCTATCATATTGCGGGTTAATGAATTGGACTGTTGTTAGACATGATTCTTGCTCTGAAGCTCATTCCAGTGTAATCTTTGATATGACGACTTTGTATCTACTTCTGATTTTGAATTTTTTCCCGAAATTATTTTTGACGCTGCATTATTTTGAGTGTTATTTATTTAATTAGTATTATTCCGAGGAAAAACTCATTGATTTTTAATAATATTCAAGTTTTTTTTTTTAAAAAAACGATCGTTCGTATTCATTTATTATGCATATTGAATGAGCGACTAATTCTACTATAATCCATCTTTCCTCTTATTCCAAAATTAATTCTACTATAATCCATCTTTCATCTTATTGAACGACTTAGTTCTTGTCTCTTAATTAATAACCACTTGTTACACATCATTTATCTTTATTATGGAGTATTTTACTTCAACTACGGAGTATTATGGAGTATTTTACTTCAAATATGGGGAAAGTTCCCAAAATAGGACTAAAACAGTTTGAAAATTCTAAAATAGGACTGTAATGTTTTTTATTCCCAAAATAGGAGTAATTACTGCCAAGTTTGGAAAATACTGCCATATTTGAAGTCTGATACTACAACAACATGACAGTAATTAGTCCTATTTTCGGAATAAAAACATGACAGTCTTATTTTGGAATTTTCAAACATTTTTAGTCTTATTTCAGGTAAATTACAGTCCAACTAAAAACATCCCACTTATTTTAGAACTTCGAACTCAAAACTCTCACACTAGAAGAACTTCCCTCGGGATTCCCAAACACACCTAAAGGGGTAGCGAATTAGGATAGCCAAGACCCAAGGATAGGCATACATTTTTGAAAGCTGTTTAGACAGAACAAGAGAAAATTGTATGTTCATTTTTATCCCAAATTGAATTAATTAATTAATTAAGTCTCTCAATTGTCTCATGCTCTTTTTCACGATCGACCAAGAGAGTCGTTGAGAGGTCCGACAAAATCTGGAAAGTTTTCAGGAGGAGACAGCAGTAGGTGGTCGGCGGGAGGATCAGTTGTGAGAGCATTTTGATCCCATCACAATTCACAAATATAAAGTCTTACTTCCTCCATTATTTTTTCGTTTATGCAAAACTTTGACTGTCATTATATTTAATTCTATATTAGTAAAAATAATTAAAAATCATTTTATTCCTCCGTTATTTTTTCGTTCATTCTTTTTTAGTTTCATGTTTAGTGATGCAAAACTTTAATTCTATATTAGTAAAAATAATTAAAAATCATTTTATTCCTCCGTTATTTTTTCGTTCATTCTTTTTTAGTTTCAATGTTTAGTGATGCAAAACTTTGACTGTCATTATATTTAATTCTATATTAGTAAAAATAATTAAAAATCATTTTATTTTAATGAGACGAGTTCAACAGTATCTTTCAAAAAATATAATTCTAAATAAAATATAGTCAAAGTACATTAGAATACATGAATAGTGTGTAATTTGCCATGTTAAAACTAATGCGATAAGGAGACTACTGCGATACGGAAGATAGTATTTACATGTGATTAAACTAATTAATCCTATTTTGAAAAAATCACACAACCGGCATCAACCATAGGAAAATTAACAGAGTATACATGAAATAGGAACAAAGAGTTCGACCACATAATAAGAATTATTGTACTCCGTATATCAATAAAAGAATCACAACCGACAATGAGAACAATAATGAACACTGTGAGATATAGGTATAATCACATCTGAAACGACGATTTTATGCTTATATCCTACCTATTCTGTCCATCCTAACTCTGATCATCAGAAACTATGAAGAATAATTTCCAAACAAAACGAAAATAAGTACAGATACTGCAAAATAATCAAAGCGTGAGAATCGGAATAGAAGTTATACAGAACTTAAAACAGCAAAGAAGCAGCAAACAAAGCTAATCCCGCAGATCCAGCGAGGGCGACTTTGTTCAAGCCGGAAGCTCTGGCAACAGAGTTAGCAGCAGCACCAGCAGGAGACTGCGCGTTGAATGGCGGATTAGCGCCGGAAACAGAGGGAGACGCAGCCGGAGAACTGGCGGGAGGCGCGGGCGGGGAAGCCAGGGGAGAAGCGACTGGTGAAACCGCAGAAGGAGCGAGAGCTGGAGCCAGAGATGGTGCGACGGTCGGAACTGCAGATCTCGCCGGTGCCGGTACCGGTGCGGAAACTGTCGCCTGTGGTGGCGATGCTCGGGGGAATACAGATCTTCCCGGAGATTGAGCTGGGGCGGCTAAAGGAGATTGAGCTGTACCGGATCCAACCAAAAACAAGGCCAAAACCATCACCAAAAACACTCTGAATCGAGCCATCTTATCTTATATAGAAATAAATCGAATTGAAGTTTTGATTGAAAATTATAAGAGAGAAGTTATGATTCGAGAAATAGATATTGAATGATCGGAAAACAGGAGGATTGAATATATATAGATGCGGCGAGTGAGGAAAATTCGCAATTCCAATCTGGAGTCGGTTGTGAACAGAGTTTGACAGCGATAAGGAATCGGTGATTGAGTCACAACTGGATGGCGTGATTGAGTTACAGCTGGACACGCTTTCGTTAGCCATTTTCACGTGGGACGGATTCCTTCTTACACGTATTTGATTTACTCCCGTAATAATCCTCCATTTCCAACAAATTTTAGAAATTGGAAGATGAAATGAGGAAGAGTGAAGATGGTAAAGATGAAATTTGAAGTAATCGAAAGCGCTATGCTTTGAAGAAAATTGTGTCACCTCTTTATGAAAAAGTTTGGACACGCCGGAATCGGGGCGGATATAGTCATATAGGATTTCAATTCAGAGGGGTAAAAAACTTCAAAAAGACCTTATTTTACTAATATTACTAAATTAAATGAGAATAATCAAAATGTGACTAAGTTTCAATTTCCCCAAAGAAGTGACCAAGATGCTTAATATGCCCTTTATTACATACGGATTACTCCATTTATTATGATTTTTGTTTATACGGAGTATTTATTAGCATCATTAGAAGCAATGAATGGTTGGCTCTTGGACACCACCGCAGTCATCACTGTCGACACTATCATCGTCGCCGCGGTGGCGGCAATGACTGTTCGCCAACTCCCTCATTGCCCCCTTTTCAGTGACTACTCCGCTGTCCTTTTTCACTGACTACCACATTGCCCTCTTTTCAGTGACTACCACATTGCCCCCTTTTCAGTGACTACCTCATTGTCCCCTTTTCAGTGACTCCCCCTTTGCCCTCTTTTCGTTCAGTGACCCCTTTTCAGTGACCACCGTCCCCGCCAACCATCAGTGACCACCGTCCCCGCCAACCATCAGTGACTACCGTCGCCATCAACCATTAGTGACTCCATTTACCACTGTCACACCACTGCCAACCGCACCGCCGGCAGCCCCCAGCCTCCCTCTCATGTCCCATCCCCAGTCCAAGACCCGCTCCCCCTGCGCCCTTCCTAGCCCTGGCCCCAGCCCCAGACTCCCTCTCCAGTCACATACCCAGTCCCAGTCCCCTTCCCCTGCTCCCTGCCAAGTCCATACCCCCTCCCCCTGCCCCTCCCCCAAGATCAGTTGTTCCCCGTCAATCTGAACAATCGGTCACCATAGCCCATAGGGGCGGTGGGCTGGTGGTGTTTCTTTCACGACCACAACCGCATGCTTGATGTCGTTCTACAATATTACCCGCGTACACCATCGTTCAACAGGTAATCGCCGGTAGAAACAGAGAAGAAGAAGGAGAAGAAGAAAGGCGACATCGATGTTGCTTAAGAGGTGAAGCAATGGTGATTAATGGATGAGAGACGAAATCGTGGCAACCAAGGGGTGAGAGATGAAGCGGTGAAGGCGACCAGATGAGAGCTGAGGTGGCGTGTGAAGATGTGGCAGCGGCGAACGTTATGAGATGGGAGGAGAAGCTGCTGATCGATGATCAGATAGATTGGGTTAGGGTTTTATTTGGTTCCTTATTTGGAGTTTTATTTAGACCACTCATTTAATGGAGTCACTTTTGTGGAAAAGGTAAACCATGTCATATATTTGTAAATGAAAACTCCAATGGTAATTTCCCTGCCATTTTTTCAAAATTCAAATATATACGGAGTAATTAATAGAACTATAATTGCATGAAATTGTAAAATAAAAAAATAAAAAACGTTACCAAGTGTATACAAGAATATGTGAGAATTTATATCCAAGTAAAGAACAAAAAACATTCCATAAAAGAACAAGTTAGACTATACTTAAAAACTCCTCACAAATAAAATAGAAACAATATGATTACTACTAACAAAAAAAATAAAAAATCCTCAAAAATATAATAGAAACAATATGATTACTAACTAAATATAATAAATTTAATGTGAAAAATGAGATTAATACACACAAATCACAATCATGTTAATATACTAGTAGCAATAATAGTAAATGTGTGATGAGATTTGATTTATCATGCTTTACGTGAGTCTTTTGTATTTCGGTTTTATCAATCTTTGGAGAGAAAAAATCGATGAAGTTTATAGATGAAGAATGAGAGTTAATTAGAGCATGAAAAATGGTTATTTGGATGGCCGCCTTACTCACAATTTTGAATCAGGATGACGTTCTATCAATAATTTGTGCATATCTCTTAATTTATAAACAAATTCAAATGAAATCATTCAGGTCTCACAAGGGATATAACTAAGTAGTTGCAAGTCTTGTGAATATAATCATATTGTATAACGGAATGTTGAGTAACGGAATGTTGGCTAACAGGATGTTGAGTAAGAAGGGGTAATGGACCCAAGTTATGGCACCGACCTTCACAAAGTCGATCAAAAAGGGAAAATCGAACTTCAGAGGTTGGCCTTGGGAGGCATCGGCCAACAGGGGTGCATCGACCCAGAGAAGTCGACATGCGAGGGTCTGACATAGACCAAGGGGAAGTTGATCAAGTGTTTGGGATCTGGTATCGACCTTCAAGAAGTCAACCTATTAGCATTCTGTTAGCTAACTCAGCCGCATTAACATGTTAATCTAATGGGTGTGCTCAATTAACACTAAAAATTTGAATTTGTGTACTTCAAAAGACCAAATGCAACATAGTGTTCTCATTACTCCCCCTCATACAAGTTGACGTACTCAATTGACTCTTATCTCAAATAAAAGTGTTATTAAAAGATACAATAATGGAATTCTTTTTCAAGCATGAGACCTCACTTTACTACATATATATAGTGCTAACAATTTTTTGTTTTAATTGCCAGAAGGGGGTGCCTAGACCCTATCTGGCCTAAAGGAAGATCTACCACGGGTGGACTCGGGTCAATCGGTCCTGGCTCCCGATACCTAGACCCAAATTTGTTGTAATTCTTTTTTTACCCGATTACTAGCTTAAAACAATTACAAATAAAAATTGGCCAATGAGACCGAAATCCGGATTGGAACTGCCCAGTTCCATCCCCAAAACTGTGAAGTGAGACCATATAACACTATTGAGCAGACAGGGTCGATCCTAGGCCTGGAACGAGAAAAACAGACTTAATCTGGTCTCAAAGTAATTTGTGATTCCTATTATTTTTTCTATCTTTTGTACAAAGCTCAAATACTCAATTTCTACTTTATTTTTATCTATTTTAAAGTTTTAAGGTGTTTTAATATTCAATTGAGATTACTAAAATAACCCCAATAATTAACATTGAAATCTTGGTAAATGATTTTGCAGCTAAATATGCTAGAAATATGCCTCTTAATTTAATTACATTTTGTTACTGTATAGTTATTCTAACTATTTTTATTAGTTATATTATTAATAAAATGTACCATGACATATATCATTATTATTTTTACTTATATTAAAAGGTTCTGTATTATTTTATTGCACAAGACCCCCATTTCTTGGGAAGCGTATATCATACAACCGGCTGTACGGTTGGCACCGTACAGTCGGTGGCATTTTTGTAAATTTGATGAAGTTCATGGTTTCTCTTAAATGAGTATCGATGTAATTTTGATGAGCATAAAGTTGGTTCTTCTGAGTATTAGGAGCCTAATAATGAGCACAGTGATCTCTGTTTCATATCTTCTAATTCAATTTCTTTTTATTAATTTTTCGTTTTATAAAAAAATTCTTAAATTTTGTTTATAATTAATTTCAATATGTGAATCTAATGTAGTATAATATGTTTAACAGATGCAACTTTGTAAAATGAGAATAAAACAATACCAAATGAGCATACATAACTTACCAAATGAGCATCAAAATATTAAAAAGCTCATTTGTGTGTGCTCATTCATTTTGAGTGTTATAATCATTTGAGTTTAACATAAAACTCATTTTGAAATATGCATGAATGTAACATTTTAAAATGAGTATTGCACTAATATCAAATGAGTATACATAACTCACCAAATGAGCATCAAAATATTAAAAAGTTCATTTGTGTGTGCTCATTCATTTTGGGTGTTATAATCATTTGAGTTTAAAATAAAACTCATTTTGAAATATGCATGAATGTAACATTTTAAAATGAGTATTACACTAATATGAAATGAGTATACATTTGATGCACCATATTATTATTGGGGCCATGGAGCTGATATGCGCGGTCGTCACCATATTCTCATGCTTGCTAGATAACAGTTTTGTTATTTGCAACATGTCAGATGTGCGGTGGAGAGTGATAATGGGGTAGATTTAATACTTTGGTGAGAGTATTAGATCTCAGTGAGAATCTTATGGTAAGCCGATCGTTCTCCTCTCAGCAATCTTTCTCAGCTTGATTCAGGGCCACGCTACGGATCGATTCAGGGAAGAAGCAGGTGAGAAACTTCTTGGACGAAACCGGATCGTGTTCTCTTAGTGCGACGGGAAGAAGCGCAAAAGCCAAAAAAGCCCGGCTGTACCGTGCGCACGGTACAGCCGGCTGTAGGGATGTATTTTACCCCATTTCTTGCGGCTGGCCCTCCATGATTATAGGAGTATAATTTAATTATATTGTGTTACTCTATAATTATTCTGACTATTTTTATCCCCCATTTTCATGCGGCTGGCGCAGCATGATTATATAAATGTAAATTTTTTAGTTTGAGTTGTAAGTTTGACCGTGGTTTCGATTTGAATGCTTAGTGAAACGCTCAAACTTAAGAATTTAGTTGATTTTGTTAATTGACTCGACCCAGCCTGGCGTGAATCATTCAACAAATGTTAAATTCTTTAATCATAAAATTTATTAGGGTTAGAAAAGTATACGATTTAGATGATTGGTTGATAATAAAATTAATTCTTTCCTGATAATAATTAATTTAGAATTAAGATGAGAAATTAAACCAAATATTCAATTGAATGACAAAAACAGTTAACCAGCTTGATCTACAAGTCTACTCCAACAATTTAATTTGGCAAATAGATGAATGGTCAATTTATGGAGGCTTTGGGGATCTAGAATGTTTCTGAAAACGAGTAAATAGTCATTGAAATATTAGACGGAGTATTATATAATGCGAGAAGCTTTTTATTGGAGTACTCCTACTACGTATTACTAGTATAAACCTAAATACACCTTGAATCAAACTCGATTTTTTAGTTGGAATTGAGTTCCATTTGATTGCAAAAAGAAAAATTAAGTTCCATATGGTAAGTATCATGAGAAAGTTTCCGGGATAGGACTAAAAGAGTTTAGAAATTCCAAAATAGGACTGTCATGTTTTTTATTCCCAAAATAGGAGTAATTACTGCCAAGTTTGGAAAATACTGCCATGTTTGAAGTCTGGTACTACCAAAACATAACAGTAATTAGTCCTATTTTAGAAATAAAAATATGGAAGTTCTAGTGCTATTATGAACTTTCACATTTGGCTTCATGTCTAGATCTCTTATTAACCAATTACCAGCCCAAACTTCTAAGACCTGGGACTTGGTCGGCAGCAGGGCTCATGCCTTTTATAGCGCTGCTTAATCGTACTATGTGATGCTTTATTTTAGGTATTCCCATCATCACGATATCATACACAGGAATTGCAATAAAAAAAAACTATACAGAGCATTACATAGTTAAGGTAAACGTTTGGGTGGCCACGCCATCTGCCATAGTGAGCCCCTCATGATATAGGTTTTCAATTTTCATGCCTTCCATATCATCAACACTGGTCACAAAACAGAGGTTGCCATTTATTGTATCCACAACGACAACCTGGTCGGTGTGAGATTCTTCCCTTTGGTAGGATTTCTTGCATCTCCTTGTTCCAAACCCCGAGTATGATTAACGTTTGGCTTCAAGGAGAATTGCAGAGTAAGGTGCAACGTTATATGTTCCACGAAGGCCTGGAACTCCATCCCTGACACAGTCATTAGGAGACTCAAGGTTTGTGTCCACCTGCAATCACCACCACCGCCATTACTGGATTCATTAACTTCAACCTTTCAAACATATGAGTATATATGACTTCCCTATATAAATACATACATATGTGTATATAAGATGCGATTCATATATTTTGCGTGAGAAATGCAAACAGTTGCACATTTTACTCAATATGATGCATAATTAGATTCATGTTTTGCACTTTTGCATAATGTTAGAAAACTTCAGTTTATTTACCAAATTGTCACCACATTTTTATTCCATCTATCGGTATATTTAAAGCCATTAACTCTCATATCAAATGCAATTCATTCTCATCTTTCGTGGGAAAGACCTTTTATTTGAATCAAAATCAAAATGCATGCATGTGTGTGTAAACACATACAGTATGAAATCATAAGAAGCTAAGCACTCACCACTCTGTACCATTGTCTGTTATTTGGTGGTGAAGGTAATGCAGCTTTAACAGCGTAGTGATGTGCATTGAATGCCAAATAAATGTCTCCATTGCCATCATGAAGCCTATAAAAACAATAAAATACTATTATAGTTAAAGGGTATTCCACATTAAGATTTTAACATATTGGTATGCAAACTTTGATAAGTTTGAATAATGTTAGTGGAATCTACATATGTACCACAGGAAATTATTCATCAGTAAATCATAACCATTATAAATGCTTGGGGAAAAGAACTGTGCAGATGCTTAGAAATGACAATAGACAAAACTGGGTGAGTGTTTAAAACATTTCAATGCGTGAACACTGAGCACATGACAATAGGGAACATTTAAAACTGGTGGATGAGAGCTTAGTTCTTACGAAAACGCAAGGAATTTACTCTCATAGTTATCCCAATTATCTTCGTGCCATGTCACATCCTTCTGCATAGTGAAAACAAATACTCATGTCAAAGCGTATGAAAACTTGATGGTGTTGAGAAAATAATGAGACCATCCTTTGGAAAGAGTTTTTGTAGATGGATACGTAAGAGTAAAAACTGTAATAACTAAGGATTACTTTCAGTTCCCATAGTGTTGATTGTTGAAACCATCTTTACCATGTCAAAGCATCTCAAAAAGGAAACTCTTTGGAAACTCTACAACAGTTTCCAAAGCATCTCAAAACTTGAGAAAATAATGAGGAGATAATCCTTTGTTAGCAACAAAAATAGGTAAGAGCAACAGTCAAGCCAGGCTAGAAGAAATTACCTTGCCAATAAAATGTTCTCTTCTAAAATGGTGATGGCTCAAACGATATCTTATCAGCTCTGAGAAAAACCTGAACTGATCATCCTTCCTGGCTTCCAACTGTTTTGTCAAAACATCACAGTTTCACTTATTCTCTCAGCACATAAAAAAAATAAGGTCTTAGACCCTGTGGTATGTATTGGGGGGGGGGGGGGTAAGGCTGACTGTCTGAGTAGTTTATAAAATATGAGCCTGATCATAGCTGAATCATATACCTGTCTCCATTGGAAATGGTTAATGGCGGTATCATGTCCATAGCTGTTGTTATTTCCATAACGGGTATGACCATACTCATCCCCCATAAGCATCATAGGAGTTCCCTAGGGATATAAAAATAAAGAGTAAAGAAGCATCCTTCCAGTGTGAGCAAGATTTAAATCTTCCAAGGGAAAAGAAATAATCTGAAAGGTAAAAATCAAAGGGCAACATAATGAAATCTAAAAGCTACGAGGGGCCAAAAGGAGCTTCTCCCTCTCGCAACCTCCCAAAATAAAGAAATTAAATAACTGATTATTCTTTGAAGAGTCCATGACACTATGACAGCCCAAAAGGGGATTATCATCTGCTTCCGTTAAGCAACAATTACACATTGGGCATTGAATGAGTAGCTAATGCATTACACACCTGAGATATCATCAGTGCAAGGTGGAAATTTTTCATTTGCCTTGAACGAATTGCCTTTATATTGGCATCAGATGTTTCTCCTGTTCAGAATTACAAGACAAGTGAATTGATGGTTACATAAAGAAATCTCCGTTGATAAAGCACTAAGCACTACACTAAATTTTGGTCGATAAATTTTAGGTGTTAATCATAGTTCTTGGGTAAGTGTTTTTCTTGTAGCAAATTTTATTTTGTGGGGTCAAACTCTGCCTCCAGTGGTGATTTTCACTTGAAAAAATAATATTTACTTGTATGTGAAAATCAAGAAATGAGATAATATGGCAGAAAAGCATATTTGGCCATTTAAAGAGACCACAGTCTTAATATTTTCATCATCAGCCACCTTAGCCCAGCTAGGTTAGTGTGTGTGACGTAAAATTCGTAGTGTCAATTACAACAACAACAACATCCAAGCCTTAGTCCCAAACGATATTGGGGTCGGCTAACATGAATCGATACATGATATCAACAAAAGGAAAAGAAAGAAAATAAACATAAAAAGATAAGCTATTATAAAAAAAAAGATAATATAAAAGAGATGAATATACATATAAAAGATAAAATAAAAAGGATAAAGTAATATTTATATATAAGGATAAAAATATAAAAGAAAAAGAAAAAAAAGAAGAAAAAAAGAGGGGAAAAGATGATACAAGATCACTCCTCCACACGAATACCCGCCCTCCATTTTGCTCTCTCCAAAGCCATACCCTCATCCAATCCAAGAAGAAGCATATCACTTCTGACTCCCCTAACCCACGTCTGTTTGGGCCTTCATCTCCCTCTCTTCCCTGCCTCTTCTCCACACATCTCAACACGTCTGACAGGCGCATCACTCGGTCTTCTATGCACATGACTAAACCACCGTAGGCGCGACTCCCGCATCTTATCTTCTATAGGTGCTACTCCCACCCTTTGTCTGATTGTCTCATTCCTCACGCGATCCTTTCTAGTATGCCCACACATCCAACGCAACATGCGCATCTCTGCCACACTCATCTTTTGAATGTGACATTGTTTCACCGCCCAACACTCCGTGCCATACAGTAATGCAGGCCTAATTGCTGTCCTATAAAGTTTACCCTTCAGTCTAGTCGGCATACCTCGATCACATAGAAATCCTGACGCACTCTTCCACTTCATCCATCCTGTTCTGATTCTATGGGATACATCTCCATCTAACTCACCGTCCTTCTGAATTATGGAGCCCAAGTAACGGAACATATCGCTGACCGGTATCTCCTTACCATCTAGAGTAATTCCGCTATTACCACTGCTTCTACCTCCACCAAACTTGCACTCCATGTACTCTGTCTTGCTCCTACTTAGTCTGAAACCCTTGTTCTCCAATGTTTGTCGCCATACTTCCAACTTTCATTAACCCCTGATTGCGTTTCATCAATCAATACAATATCGTCGGCAAACATCATGCACCACAGTATATCATCTTGAATTGACTTTGTAAGTTCATCCATGATTATGGCAAATAAAAAAGGGCTCAGAGCCGATCCTTGGTGCACTCCGATAGTAATAGGGAACTCCGCAGTCCTCCCTACACTAGTACGGACACTTGTAGTACAATCCTCATACATATCCATGATGATGCTGATATACTTGCGTGAAATGTCTTTTCTAGTTAAGGCCCACCAAACAACTTCTCGAGGTACCCTATCATATGCCTTTTCTAAGTCAATGAACACTAAATGCAAATCCTTGTGAGCGTCTCTATACTTCTCCATAAGTTGCCGAAGAAGGTGAATAGCCTCAGTTGTTGAGCGACCAGGCATAAAAGCGAATTGATTCTCTGAAATCTTCACCGTTCTTCGAAGTCTTTGCTCAATCACTCGCTCCCAAAGTTTCATGGTATGACTCATAAGCTTAATCCCTCGATAGTTGACACATTCTTGTACATCATCTTTATTCTTAAATAAGGGAATAAGAGTACTCTTTCTCCAACTCGTTGGCATCTTGTTGTTTCTCCAAATCTTGTTGAAGAAATTTGTTAACCACTCAATGCCTCTCTCTCCCAAACTTCTCCAAGTCTCGATCGGTATGCCATCTGGACCCACTGCTTTCTTCCGCCCCATCTTCCTCAGAGCCTCTTTAACTTCCGTTGGTTGGATCCTTCTCACAAAATCACGATTTACCATACAATCTGGTATGGTCAAATCACCGATATCTTGCACTTTGTTCCCGTTGAATAATGTATCAAAGTATGACCTCCACCGCACAATTTTCTTATGATGAACTTCTAAAATAGTAAAATCTCATCATCTTAGGTTTAGATTTTCTAGTTACTATACATGAGGTCAACTCAACTTTCTATTATTCTCTTATTTTCAATATCCAATTATTATATCCAAAATCAGTTTGTTAGGTACACGGAAATCTGGCGATGAATTGTGGAACACTAAAACTGAAATTGTTGAAATTGAACAGAACGTACAAGTGAGAGCAAATTCTAGAGTGCCTCGTCTCTCCCAAGTCCCAGTCCAATCCCAAGTTCTGCCTGCCTTCTTCCTCCCTCCTTTCCCCCTTTTATATCAATTCTCTTCCTAAGGGCTGGCCCATATTTCATGAATTACTTGGCCCAAAACATTTATTTATACAATAACACTCTATTTAATAATACTCTATTATTCTTATTAAAATTAGTTGTCCATGTCCCTATCATATCTCCGCCCTTGAACAACCACCTTGTCCTCAAGGTGGGTGATAGGAGACAGCCTTGACCTTCAACTTCATCTTCATTCTGGCTCCTCTTCCTTCCCAATACATCCCACATTTCTGGACCTTTAACTTCAGTACTTGAAGCTGCATGCTCATGTTCTTCACTTCAAAAAAGAACAGAAATAAATTTCTGTTGGCAGACTGCCCCCATATGTTGCAAAAGTTTGAATCTCCCAACAACGGCGTCTCTTCCCTATAGATTTCAACCCACATTATGTGTGTCCAGGGGTTCTTAGGAATATCAGAATCTGAACCCCGGGTTCCAAAAATTTCAGCTCGGCCACTACATTTCAACACATGAAGAAATAATTCAAGTATGAGTTCACCCAAAACACTGCTTTTCGCCAAAGGTAAGGACGAAGACCATGCTGCCTCATTCCCACCTTGAAAAGTTTGAGGGGCATGATTAGCTGAGAGGAGTTGAGCAATTGAAAGGAAATTTGATCCCAGATTTGACAAGAAAAAATAGAAAAGTCCAATATGGTAGCTCATGGGTTGCACATCTCCAACTACATACTCACTAGGTGGATGTTCAGAGCTCCACAGCTTTAGAAGTGCAGTCAACGCCTTTGAAAATACCGAAAGAACTGTGCCCTTCTCTGGATGCATTGGCTGAGACTTGATCATACTGTCTGTGCTGATATCCATTGAAATAATGTGACCATCTCTGGTCACGAACATAGTAGGTACTTCCCCAGTTTCATATGAGGTTCCACCCTCCGGGTTCACAGTGCTTTCATGAAAACCCGAATTTGCCTGTCGGCTTTTAAACTTCACAATCAGTTTGGATCCTGATGCCATGTACTGCCAGATGCATACTGGGGAATTGACAAGTGAAAAGAGAGCTGCGAATTGATACCCAGAACCACTTGGGAAAAAGACTTCATTGTTGGGTTTATTGATCAAGTGCAGCCTTGTTTTCTCGGGGCCAGAGCTGGTGCCACGCCTGTAATAGTGAAATTGGCCAGATTCTTTCCCATTAGGTACACTCAAAAAATTAGTGGCAGAGTCAAGAGCTGTCATTGCTGCACTCCTAATAATGCTCTCCAGGCCCTTCACCTCAGATGAGAGAGTCATCATAAGTGCCAACACTGGGCACATGACATCCCAGATTCGGACATATCCATCCTGATATCCTGCTAGGTATTTTCTCTCAATTAGAGGCCACCTCGATTCCCATCCAATCTTAGCCTTTGAGAAATTGCCAGGGTAGTTACATTTCCAATTCAGAAAACTTGACTTTGCCACAGTCATGTATGAGTTGTGAGCGGTTATTTCTACAGGATAAGGAGTGATGTCAGCCTCATGATGGGTCTCTTGCTCCCATTTCAAAGTAGACAAGCAAATGTTCTCATAAAATTGCAACTCTCTGGGGTTTGTCAGTATGAAAAAGGAATTGAGTTTACTGCTCTTCATATCACAAACAATTGGTATAGTAATAATATCTCCAAATGATCCAGGAAGTTTAAGGTCTACTGGCTCTACTTTATCAATGCCTTTCGATTTTGTAAGCCCATATGACCAATCAAGTTTAGGTATCCTTAAAACTTCTTCAAATCCAATGTCACTCCCACCATAGACATTAGCCGAACAACACAACAGAATAACAGGAAACCTTTTACCTCCGGATGATGGTTGTAAGTTAACAACGCTATCACACTGATTTTCCACCTTGTGGCCTTCCGAATAGTCTGGCAGAGACCAGTTCAAACAACCTCCAATCAGCCTCATATTTTGCACATCTGCACCCTCTGTGTTTGGCTGTAGCCTATTCTCAACACTGTGGTAAAGATTTTGACCAGGCCCTTGTGAAGCTTTAAGATTACTAACATTTTGAGAAGTGACTGGCAGAACTCTACCACAAACCGAGTTGAAGAATTCCATATAACCTTCAGAAGCATCAGAAGTTGGGCATCCAAAAGAAACAGGAACTGCAGTTGCACCAATTTCAGGTCTAGCGACCACTGACAATTTCTCCTCATTTTTATTATAGCCTTTAGTGAACTCTGCATTTTCTCCAAATTGAGGAGCACTTCTATCATCAGAGAAAGGTTGCTGCAGGTTAACAGACTCATATTTTGTCATCAGCAATTTTAAGTCAGAAACCACTTGGTTCTCCAATTCAGAACCAGCAATTTTGTCAGACTCATATGCCCGGGCAGTAGAGGATTGAGTTCCCACAGAAGTTTTCTCGTCACCTCCCTCATTACCATCGATGAACGCACCTTTGGAGGGAAGTTGTTGCTGATTCACACACGGCTGAGGGATCGACGCTGACTCAACTTGCGCACTGTGAGAAGCGGACATATGAGATGAAACCTGCGAACGAGGAAGATCTGTTCGCGATGATGACTGGTGACTAGCCGCTAGAGATAGCGAACTAGAGAACTCTGTTCGAGGTGAAGATGGCGAACTGGTAGCAGTTGTCTTCCGCGAAGAACGAGTTCGCGATTGAGAAGACTGAGAAGAAACAGATGACCTGGAGTCGCAACTACCATTCCGCGCACTTGTTTTGGAGATTTTTGATCGACCGCGAGAGTGGCGATCAAGCTTCTTCATAATCAACTCGCGTATCTCATTGCACTTGCGTTTGGCCTCCTCACTTTCGCGCTCCATGTCTGTGGACCACCTCGCCAACTTGCGCTCCATGTTTGCAGACCGCCTCGCCAACTCACGCTCCAATTTCTCCAATCTTCCTTCCATCGCTCTGCGTATATCGACCGTTGATAGGCTACAAGAACGAATGCTCTGATACCAATGTTAGGTACACGGAAATCTGGCGATGAATTGTGGAATACTAAAACTGAAATTGTTGAAATTGAACAGAACGTACAAGTGAGAGCAAATTCTAGAGTGCCTCGTCTCTCCCAAGTCCCAGTCCAATCCCAAGTTCTGCCTGCCTTCTTCCTCCCTCCTTTCCCCCTTTTATATCAATTCTCTTCCTAAGGGCTGGCCCATATTTCATGAATTACTTGGCCCAAAACATTTATTTATACAATAACACTCTATTTAATAATACTCTATTATTCTTATTAAAATTAGCTGTCCATGTCCCTATCACAGTTTTTCCGTTCAGTAAGAATTTTACTTTAGTTTTCACATATATAAATTTTAATTACTGGTACCAGATTAAATATTACTACTCCAGAATTACCTTTGACTTAGGTGAAGGCCTTAATAGAAATTCATAACTACCATTGTAATTTGGATGGATGGAGTTTTTTTAGGAGGGGGGGGGGGTACCAGGAAAGGTACAAGATTGATATTGATCATCACACAATACATGGAAAATGACCATCAAGCTTCCATATTTTGTGGGGAAAGAGCTATGGAGAAAGAAGGATTCATTCAAAAACTACAATCACCTTCAACTCCACAATTCCAGCTAAAATTGTCATTACATCCATCATTGCCACCTTCACCATTGGCATCATTGTGCTGTAATTTTCTCCAAGAGATGAAAATATCTCTATGACATTTCAGTAGGAAATGTTACACTGAAGAAAGGAAGACATGTACACTTGGCTTTAAGGTACCTTACTGTTGTATGATACAAGATCATAGAGAGTAAAACCATCATGTGCAATAACAAAGTTGACACCATGGCATGGCTTTCGCTTGTTGACCTGCAACAAAATATTTAGCTCAAATGAAGCAACTATTCAACAATACACAATTTAAATTTTAGTAGAGGGGGTTTGTGTCACAAATATGGGAAAGTTCCCGAAATAGGACTAAAAGAGTTTGAAAATTCCAAAATAGGACTGACATGTTTTTATTCCCAAAATAGGAGTAATTACTGTCAAGTTTCGAAAATAATGCCATGTTTGAAGTCTGGTACTGTCAAAACATGCCAGTAATTAGTCCTATTTTGGGAATAAAAACATGGTAGTCCTATTTTGGAATTTTCTAACTCTTTTAGTCCTATTTTGGGTAATATCTCCACAAATATTAGTTTATATCAAGTACTGAAGTACCTGTAAGGGAATGCACAGAGTTATAAATTTGCACAGGCTTTTTGAGCTAATGATATGACAATAAAACCTAGAACTGTACTCCTTAACTAGGATATTCACCATACTAAAGGGCAATACGCACCAGTACATATATCACAAAAGGATAGACCAAAGCATAGGATTTTGAGCTTGTGAGAGATGATGACACAAAAGACAGTCAGATTAGAAGGTGGGAACATAATAGCGCTACATAGCATCAAAGCAAAAGTAAGCCATACCATTTAATTTGACGGAATGGCTCTTGTGCAGTGAAAAAATAATTTGGCGCTTTCCTAAATGAGTTTCAATTTATATACAGTAATGTCACCATATAAAACAAAAACAAAAACAAAAAGATCCATTTACTATATTTCATATGATTATTAATATATAGGCAGCACGAGTATATATTTTGACTTTCTAAGGTAGAATTCAACTGCATAAACTAAATAAATTTAGTGTTGGATGAAGGAAAGCTAACCACATGTCTACACAGTCATTTCAACCATTGTGATTACAACTAATTTCATAGTCTGTTTTAACCTCTTGCATGTTGCTGTTGATTATGTTTGAATCAAGGAAAGTGGTAGGGAAAGTAAGGAAATGCTGAAGAAATAAAATACTATCTCCGTCTCTCTAAGATTTTCCCATTTTACCTTTTCAGTCCGTCCCACTAAGATTGTCCCATACCAAATTTGGTAAAGTTTGTGTGGCTCTAAATCATTCTTACTTTATTCTTTACTTTATCAATTAAATACCAACCACATACACCACTTTTTATTAATTTGCGTGTCACTCCCTCTTGTCCCATTGTTAGTGGGACGGAGGGAGTAGTAGGGAAAGGAAAGAAAGTTTTAAATGAAAAGAATTAGAAAACATATACTTTGTAAAATTCTAAAACTGGTCTGTTGAGTGAACAAGTTTTTATTATTGTCACCCATCTCACATAACCTTCGTCCAATATTTGGTAGTTAGATCATTTTTCAACTTCTGAATTTTGGCTAACATATGTTTCCAAATTTATTCCCACTAGGGCCACTAGTAGTGCTCCCAAGTAATAAACTCCAATAAAAAACTATATTTGCAAAGTCAACTTTTTTGGTCAAACAGTTTCATTTTATTCACTTAATTAGGATATCAATTGTTAATAATATTCCAATTTGGATTTTGTAACTTTATAGAAATTTTAATGTAGTTTCTGAGTATGTAAATTTTAATTATTAAAACTGAATGAATTATCAATAGGGAGGATTTAACTTTAACATTGATTGACCAAAAAATGTTGACTTTGCAAATCAATTTGGGACGGAGGAAGTAGGCATTTAACTCTTTGACTTATATAATTTGTTGGATACACACAACTTCCACAAAAATAATAATTAATACACATAAATCCTTACATATCCCACTGCTTACATCAGATATGAATCAAAATAGGAGAAACTCGAAATCTTATTTGAGAAGGGACTCAATGAAAAGTCAGGTTTCTGTGCGCAAATTAAACCTTCTATGTTTTTTAGACTTACCTTATAAAGGTCAGCACTGCCTGAAACTCGAGTTGCAAAACTTCCTTTCATGCCGGCATCACCCTATTTAGTCAATTAAATAATTAATAAAGGACAAAATCCACGTGGCACGTTTTATACTTTTAGCACCATGAGACTTTTACCATTGGTCAAGCAAATGCATATAGCAGAGTTTGTATTTTTTTAGCATCATGAGACCATTATCTTTGGTCAAACAAATCCATATAGCACAGTTAGAACCTTTTAGCATCATGAGACCATTACCATTGTTCAAGGAAATAAAAGTCACATGTTTAAAGCATTTAAGTATAAGATCACTACAGACACAAGTTGCATATAGATATACTCCCTACGTCCCAAAATTAACTTCTCACTTTCCTTTTCGGGCAGTCCCGAAATTAACTTCACACTTCAAAACTTTCCTTATTTGGCAAATAATCTACATCAAAACAGTGCCAAACAGTGCCAAACAGTGTCCAAACAGTGTTTAAACAGTGCAATACAGTGCACTACACAGTAAAGTCAAATTTATTTTCTTAATCTGTGAGAAGTCAAACTGTGAACTTAATTTTGGGACGGGGGGAGTATAAAGATACATTTTTCATCCAAATAAGACGCTGTCCATAAAAGATAAAAGACATGATCAAGTGATAAGATGGGTTTTGATGCCGGTGGTGATAAGAAACCACAGTTTGGGATGGTCAACAAAGCATCGAACATATATAGTTAAGAATGCCAAATGTCACCATGAATTTAAATATGTCCAGGCAATTTGAATATAAACTTAAAATGCATAAATTTTCTCCGATTCAGTAAACCAAATATGAAAATGGGTCGACATAATAACATCTACAAACAACTTTTAAAAAAGTGCAAAATGCTCAAAGACCTCTTAGATCTTTACCTTCATAAATCTTCTTATATCATCACGATAAATACCATTCCACTCGGCCCATCTGCAGTCCAAATAACTCAAAGTAAGTATACAATCCTGCAATACAGTTTAATACGTAGTATAAAATTTTCAAGTAACAATTAAGAAAAAGGAATGGGGAACAAAACTAGACTTAGAAGAGGAAACAATATCTGCCATCCAAGCTGATTGTCAAGGGTATAGTAATCACATAGGTTAAAAACGAGGATACTACCGAGTGACTCGGATGGTTATGTAATTTTAATTCAAATCCCTTTCGCTTTACAGATTTAATAGGGTTTTGAATTATTATAAATGCGAAAAAGAGACTGAAATTAAGACCCCAATCCGCCCAGTAAAGAGTTTTTAAAATCGATCAATAGCATGAACTGTAAAAACCATCACATTGTCATCTAATCGACAGCATGAACAACAAATTAAAGAACGGCACAATAGAAATGACATTTAATTTCTTTTAGAATAAAAAATGGTGGGGTTAATTATCTACCGATCCCAGTTTGGAAACTTTCCAACAAGATAGAGGCCTCCACAATCCCATGGTTCAGCAATTATCTTGCACCTAGAGAGGACGCTATCTTTAGCAATGGCCTGTATCATAAGAAGAGTAACTGAAGCAAATAAAACACAATTATTTTAAATCCATAAAAGGTGATGCCATTTTTATACCCTTATAATTGGGGGAGAATCGAGTGGAGTGCCATTGATTCCTCTACAAAGAACACTGGCAAGATCAAACCGAAACCCATCCACGTGATACTCCGCGACCCTTCATTTTCCCAGAGATGCGAGGATTAAGAACAGACAAAAGAACCAAAAACTTTATAGATATAGCTCTAAAAAAACTAAAAAAAATGACAAAAAATAGGTATGAAAGAGACTAGTTCTTATGAGTTCTGGTTGGGTATCAAATGTTAGAAAATATCACAAAGATGCATGTGTACACACTCATCAAAAGCAGCAGGTCTTTAAGCAAACAGCCAAATGAGCATGCCTATAATGCTACAGTTTAGATGATGACACTGCATCTTTTCAGTGTAGAAAAACTAGACCCTTTTATGTTTAGGAAAAAATTGATTACATTAATCCTGACTATTGTGGGTTCATATTTATTAAACCAACTGCCGTTTGCTTCTGCATGAGCCCAACATTAACAAACAATAGTTTGGTTGTACAGAAATAATCAATAGTTGGGAATAATAAAAGTGAACATTGTCAGGACTATTGTAATCATAGGAGAAACCCCAAATAAACTGAAGAAAACATAATCTAAACTTAAACTAAAGTTAGAATAGAAAGGTACCAGTGCCTCAAGCTGTCAAGTATAAGCTCCATCACAGTAGGATGGTTACAATTCAATGTGTTTCCTGGATATCAAACCCAAACATTAAGTCATGAATATTATTTTCCTGGAGCTTAGAGTAGGAGCATTTTCTGTCCACAGCCTCAATTGAGTAAATTTCCGGTTAGAATTTAAAAGCATTGGCTTAGATCGGTTTTGGTCTACAAATAATTTTTGGTCCAATTTAGCCTGTTAATCACTTCAACAAGATATAACGAGAATTTAGCCAGTTGATAGTGACTATGAGGAGAGAGAAACGAAAAATAGAAAAAAAAACAAGAAATACAAGATAAAAAGTAAGAGTATAAATTTATTTTGATATGGTAATACTTGCCAAATTTGGAAAGAAAAAAATCTAGGACTTTGAATAACGGCATCCACAATGGTGGGTGTCAAGTTTAATTTTTGGAACATGAACTTGATATTTGTTTTTATCTTTTGAATGTTCTTTATCTTTTCTATCTTATCCTTTTTATCTTATCTTTTTTATTTTTATCTTATTTTTTTATCTTTTTATCTTTCTTTTTATATTATCTTATTTTTTTTATTTTTATTTTAATGTTTTTTTATCTTTTTATCTCCGATTTCATATGTCGGTTCATGTTAACCGACCACAGACTCTTTTGGACTAAGACTTGGATGTTGTTGGCGTAGTTGAACTTGATATTTGTCGTGTGTTCTTAAACTTGACACGCATTCTAAAACTTAACACATGTTAATAATACACTCAAAAACCAAATAAAAAAAAAACTGAACTATGAACACTATTGTTGTGGAATAAAATATAAGTTTGTTCATTATCGATGCCGCAAGGTAGGACCGCAAGGTAAAATTGAACGCTATTACTATTGATGCTCTAAAACATATTGCTTTCCCCAGATATGATTACTGATACATGTGTGAAATATATGAGCCCTTTTGGTAACTCTTATATTCGGCTAGTCAGCCTAACCGGCTTTCTCTTTTACCAAGAACGTAACTTTTTTTCGCACACTAAGCATAATTGGTTTCCCCAAATACTTTTTTTAATGAATCCGTTGAAATTGTTGAATATGACTATTTTAGCTATATCTTCATTAAAAAAATTATTTTATTAATAAATGTATTTTAAATATTTTTTTTAATTTATCAGATTCAACAGATCCAGCCGATTCAGCTGCGTCAGTCAGATTTGAATCAATTTCAGCAAATTCAGCCAATTCAACCAAATTCAGTGTTACCAAACAGACTAAATAATTTTAGGGACTAAAATACATAAAAACCAAATTTAGTGTTACCAAACAGACCAAATTCAATGTTACCCCCCATCTATTATAACTTTGGCCGACTATCCTTGTTTTGTTATCCCACAAACTTTGTCACTTTCTCTTTTAAATAAAGAATTTGTGGTTCTTGTTAACATTTTCTCCTCTACTCAAACCTCAACCACTCAGTTTTTACTTTATTATTCTATGTGTCAGTCAATTTTAGCATAGTAATAAGGAACAAAGGGGTTGTCATTGAGGAATAAAAACATGTTAGGCCTCTCTATATAAACCAAACAGATAATTCTTAAGAATAAAAACATGTTACTCCATAATACTCCCCCAGTCCCTCAGAATTTGATCAAGTTTGATGTGCACGTAGAATAATAAAGTAAAAATTGTGTGGTTGAGATTTGTGAAGAGGGAGAAACTACTTTAACCACATATTTATTACTCCCTTCGTCCCTAATAACTTTGCCAAGTTTGACCGGGACGGGGATAATAAAGTAAAAATTGTGTGGTTGAGTTTTGTGCAGAGGAGAGAGAATGAATTTGGAACCACAAATTCTTTATTAAAAGGGAAAGTGACAAAGTTAGTGGGACATCCAAAAAGGGAAAGTTGGCAAAGTTATAAGGGACGGAGGGAGTATTTTATATGGAAATGACAAAGTCTTTTGAAATGGCTAAAAAGGAAATTTAGCCAAGTTTTGTGAGAAAGAGGGAGTATTATTTGTAAAAAGTAACAGATTTAAGTCATATTTAGGGTAATTGTTTCACTAGAAAAGTGGAGCAACCCCGAAAAGGAATAGAGCAAATTACAAAAAGAGGGGTATATATAAAAAGTTACTTTTTGTTATTTGTAATCTCAATCTTAAAGCTTTACTCCCAAAAAGTGGAAGGACCATAGTACCATACACATGAAACTCGCATAAATACATCACTTTGTGAAGTAGTTAAGTTTGGCCAGCTTCGCTAGTTTCAGGTTAAATTGAAACAATTGAAGCTTGCACGGCCAAATAGAACCTTATGCAGAACTATTGTGCCCGAAGTGACATTTACTACACCATTGATGTGTACCAGAAGATTCATTTTACTAAAGGAATTGCATGTTCAAATCACTTTCAAGCTTAATGAAAACTTTACTATGTGATATGATGATAAAAATTTCACTTTGATGGCGAATGTAGAGGAGAGTTACCACAGCCTGAGTAGTTCAGCAACTGGGGTTTGTTGTCTACATCCACCATGTAATAAACCTGCAAATCATGATCGCAAATTAATGTTGTTTACAAGAGAAAGATAGAGCAGAGAAGGAACAGAGTTGTTGCGGATGATAAGTGACAAGTATTTTAGCTCAAAGTAGTTGTGTGTATAATCATAGCTTCTGGTAATAACCATAAACTCTGTAGTAACTCCATATGCACAACTTTTTTCTCATTTTCATAACTAACTCCCCACATTGAATTATTAGTTTTCAGGACAGTTTGATTATCCCCATTAAATCCAGCACCTCTCAGCCTCTCAGGGTCTTCTGTAGGCATATATAAAGATGAAATTGACACCAACCCTACTTTTATTAATACAAAAAAGTAATCCGTAGTGAAGAAATGTCCAGCAATAATACAAGCTTATTAAGAGCTTCAGAAAAACATTCTGCGATGTAACAAGATGAGGTTCTGTTAGTTTAATGTGTTCACAAGAAGCAAAAAGCAACATGAGACTTTTAACCACACTAGCTTTGATCATGGACTGATTACTGATAAGTATTCAATATTTCAATTCAATATTAACATCAAATATTAATAACATCAAATACTCTCCTATAGCAAAACTCAAAAACATCAAAAGAAAGTTTAGATAAATCCAACAGCTGTTGTCTTGCTAACTATTAAAAAATCATAACCAAGTTTTGAAGAACTCCAGAAAATCATTAAAAGAAATTGAAAATATTGAGAAAGCTTTCCAAAACATTGTTGATAACTTAAAACATGAGACAATGCATGTGTGCGTAATAGTTGCTCTGAGCAGATTACTTTTTATTTTTTTATTAAATTTATCATCTTGTTTAAGCATTAGTCGGGTGTAACTTTATTGTATTGTTGAATTGCTATTCATGAGAATTTGCAAATAACTTGAGAAACATAAGACAATGCTCAAAAATTTTAGTAACCAAATTGGAATCATGTTAAAAAAAATGTAAATTAAAATTTTGCATGTGCGCGTAGTAGTCACTCTGAGTATATTACTTTTTAAAAAAATGTTAAATTTTAATTCTTTATTCGAGGATTACTTTATTGTATTGTTGAATTGCTATTCATGTGAAGCCTTGTATCAATTCCAATACTTGTGCATTTTTATTATTGTGAAGGCGCTTGACAAAATGGTCAAATTTGAATGGGTATAGAGACAAAAAAAAAATGCCTTAAGTTTTCAAATATTAGTTATTAGCTATTTTTGACGATTTCGCTTCACAACACTCTACAAGAAGTGTTTTCAAATAGTATTATCTATACAGTTTTTACTATTTATTTTGATAATTGTGTTGCTTTTGCTGTATAAATATCCAGCTTACTAAATTATTAAAAGAAGTTGTCTTTATTATAATTCATTTTACCTTTTTGTTATATTTTATAGTTCTAAAAAGGTATGATTTACAATTTTTTATTAGAACAAGAATGACAAAGTATCGCCTCAGACTATGTAAAGCAGGAGACCTGCCCCTAACCCATTTCAGGCTTTCAGCTATCTATGTGGTAAAACATAGATGCTAAATGACAAAGTATCACCTCCGGCTTTCAGCTTTTTGTTGTGCATCAATTTCGAGTTCAAAACATATTTCATGATGCTTTCAAGAAAAGAATAGATGTGATTTAACAAATCAATGTGATTATCAATAAAATTTAGATACTTATTAACATTATCAAGGATATTTTGAGAAAAAATGAGTTTAAATAATTATTAACCCAATTTTATATGCTAATATTATACTTCCTCCGTTCTCTATTAGATGTCCTTATAGGGTTTGGCACAAGTTTTAAGAGGAAAATAATAGGGGTAATGTAAAAGATGTAGTGGGTTGTGTTTAAATGAAAAAGTAGGAAAGAGAATGAGGGTATATAGGTATATTTATTGATAAAACTTTCTAAAAATGGAAAGGGAGACAACTATTAGAGAACATCCCAAAATGGAAAGAGGGACAAGTATTAGAGAATGGAGGGAGTATTAAATATAATTTCGAATTCCCCTTTTTATTCTTTTGTTTTGTAAAGAGACAAACAATATCAAACACATATTTTTTTTTCTTAGAAGGATAGAGGAGATAGTTTAGGGGCAGAATAAAATTGGAAAAAGGACACAAAAAGTAACAGGTGAGATTTAGTTTTAACATGAGTAAGCTTTGTAATCCGAAATTACACTTATAATTTGGAATAGAGGAAGTACTAATTTTTTATCGATATTATTTTAGGATTCTATTACTACGTAATTCTTTTCTGATCAAATGTACATGCAAAAGAAGTTCGCCATTTGGAAACAAGTAAACCCATGTCACAAAATATAGATCAAAATGTTAGGTGGTGGGACATTTTTGTGAAGCTATTATTTATATAAAATGCGCAAAGGTATGAATTATTGAAGTCAATGTCTTTAATAAAAGAAATGGAGTATCATACCACCTCATGAAGCCTTAAATGAATGTAAAGGTAAACAATCATATGCAGGAAAAAACTGAAGCAGGTGACTTAATCAAATAAAAGCATAAATACATGGTCGGGTTACGAGATCACCTTGTTGTCAATGCCTCGAAATGATGTTGTGTACGGATTTTCGTCATCAGCTTCATTTGTATGGTTGTAGACAACATCTAAGATGACCTACGAAATTGGGAACAAGCTGGGTACCACAGAACAAAGCAGACAGTAAATCGAGTACAAGCACTTGAACAAAAACTTAGGAGGTGTATACCTCTATTCCTGCAGCATGCAATGCTTTAACCATTTCTTTAAACTCCCTAGAAGCATTAACAGGGCCCCCACCAGAACTTGCATAACGACTCATTGGAGCAAAGAAATTTATTGTAGAATAACCCCACGTGTTGATCTTGAAAATAAAATTATACCACATTAAACCATTACTCATAAGCCAATGGCAGGCAATGAAGTGACAAATTGAGAGAAGATTCCATATTCCAATGGGCAATGGTGGTAATAAGGATGTTTTCTTTTGGATTGTTTTCAGTCCCAGACCAGATCAGACCAGACTTCCGTAGTTATAAAATACACAGAGACCAAATGTTTACCAGACCAGACCAGCAAATTTCAGTCCAAAAGAAAACATCCTAACAAACACTTCTACTAAAAGAATGGAAGTGATAAGTTTAGTCAGAATCTTACCATATGGTCTCTAGGATTTATCCTCCTTTGGAATTCCAATTCATCAAACTCAAAAATAGGCAGTAACTCAACTGCATTGATGCCGAGCTCTAAAAGATGTGGAATCTTCACATGCGAACAATGAAAAATACACATTCATTAATATTGTTGCAGATTATGTAAAACTAAAGAGCCATGGTAATTACCTTTTCTATCACACCAAGGTAGCTCCCCCTTATGTCTGGATCCAGCTCACTTGCTTCATCAGCTGTAAAGGCACGGACATTCATCTCATATATCACAAGATCTTTCTGCAAAAAGAGCATAAAATGTGCAGAAATATAGATGAGCAAGGTATCTCAATAATGGGTATGAGATGTTGTCAACTCATTCAATGTAAGAAGAAGCAAACACGTTAAATGTCCACATTTAATATAAAGGAATCAAAATTTTCAGATGTCATACTATACATAAGAATTTGAAACACTACATACAAACTATTCATCATACATTTATAAAGCTTAAATATCCCAAGTCAAGTCAATTAATTTGACATGAAACTACTATTATCTGCATAACTTGTACCTCAGGAATATGTGGAAGCTTATAGTTATCACCCCATTCAAAAGGCAAGCTATCAAAATCATAAGTTCCATAAAATGGGCTCATCCTATTGGAAACATCTCCGAATAGCCGACGGCCTTCAATTAGTTTTGCATAGGGATCAATTAGAACATTTCTATAATCAAAGCGATGTCCCTGATTCCAACTCCGAGGACCATCAATACGATACCCGTAATGTACTCCACTACGGGGCAGATCCTGCGTGGCGAAAAGCTTAAAAATACTCATATACCAAATATAATAAATAACAAAATATAAATACTGATTCAAAAGCAAGGTGACTTTAAAACAATCACAATAACACAGAGCAGAGGTTATTATTGAGGACAAATGGACAATTTGTTCACATTTTCAAGGATAAAGAAGTTGGAAAGTTTATTTGGACAGCCTTATGTAAGCAGTTATAAGTATGGTGGCATTTCATGCAGTGGTTGGTGATGATATGGAGTCTTGTTCAAAACTTTTTAAAAATTTGCATCCCACCAAAGTTAATAAAACATTGTGGTTGTCTCAGAATAAAAGGCAGTTTGGACTTGATATTTGGAATTTCATGAGTTTCAAGAAATTTCTGCATAGCACACTAAAAGAATAAGCTTGGTCTAAAAAGTAAAGACTGGGCACTTATATTTCAAGGAGGAGATTCACAAGTGGCACTTCATTAAATTTAGACCCAGTTACAAATTTATACAATTTTGAATGAAACACTGCCAACGGTACACCAATTAAACAAGAATTCATTGTCCAACACATTTCTTTTTGTCACATTTTGATGCTTAACAAATTTTACACAAAACTGGACTCAAACTTCTGAGGGAGATATAAACTTAGGGCATTGCACATTGCTTGTTTGCATTTAAGTCGGGAAAAACATTAACAGACCTATGGTTATATTTTTATATTTATTCTGTTTATTGTCAATGCAGTTCCGCTCTTACATGTTTTCATTTTTCTTGAGTTTAATAAAAACAAACTGTTTCAAGTAGGAAAAAGGGTGCAGGGTGCTTACCATGTTATATTAACATAGGGGATAAGGGGAAGAAGCTGGCATAAATATCACCATACCAACACGCCAAGAAACAAGAATGTCATTTACTCACTTTCAAGATCACACAAAATTAATGTTAGATAATTGACTGTTATTTACTACCTCAACACATATGTGCCATATATCCCCAGTTCGGTTTGTCTGGGGATCCAATGCCAATTCAAAGGTCCCAGCATCAAGGGTGTCATAAATTGTCCTAAATACAAACAAAAAAAAATGCAAATATTGTGATAGGTGAAGATGTATATGCACACATGCTTTGTGCATAAAGTACCCAGAATAGAATACTGCAAATAACTTCAGAACATAAATTAAGGTTAGTAGAAGGACTTCGAGTTATCACCGCACCCCCATCCTATAAACGATTGAAATAGGAAAGGCATAATCCTTCAGGGCATCACAGACCAAAAACGAAAAGCCAAATAAAATAAATAATGTTAAACTCTTGTCAGTTCACATATCCAAACCTCTCAGGAAGGATTAAGCAGAGAGTAACTCCAGAAGCATGCCGAGAAAAGATTGCAAAGTTAATCCCATTTTCAACTTCTGATACTCCTAATGGATGAGCTACACCCTGGGAAACGCTGAGTGATGGTAGACTTTCCAGCATTTGCGGAGCTTCTTCCTACAGTTAAAAGAACATGCATTTGAAAGCATGGTTTTGTTATAACAGGAAACAACACTTCTATTCCCAGTAACATGGCAAATTTAAAATTAAAAGCATGTACAACCATACAGCATTTAGATTCATGAAAAAGAGTAAAATAAAAAGTATACTCTTTTAAATTCTACTGCTGCGCATCATGTTAAGATGGTGACTTCAATTAAGGTATGCTAATTGCAAATCCTCAATTTAGAAATAACACTGGAGATAGCAGAGCAACAATGATGTGAAGTTTTCATTCCCATGTTACAATATGATATTCAAGATGGCAATTCCGATCAAGTGTTTCTCAGTTCCAATCGCAAAAATCAAAACTCTAATATGAAGTGATCCACAGACAAATGAAATGTACCTGGACGAGGCGCTGCTCTTGAGCTCGACGAGCAGAGACAATGGCCTTCCTAGGCCTGCGACTATCCGCTGACTAGATATTAAAAACGAAATGCCACATAAAAATACGCGCTTATGAGTTTTCATGACTGACTGAATGGTAATCATCACCGTCGTGCTAACCTTCCTGGGCAAACTCCGGCCAGAATTTTCCGATGAAGCTTTTATAATCCCCTTCAGACTGTCCAAAAAGAACTTTAGAACCCTCAAAAAGAAGCAGTAAATGAAACGAAGAACAATTGAACCTCCCTATGTTGGAACTATGCATAATAGCAGTGAAATTGTTACCCCGTGAGAGAAGATGGGGCGAAGAAGGAACGGTTAAAGTCACTCAGAAGAGAAGGAAAAAGACAGTGCATCGTCGACTGAGTTTTTATGCTCTCTAGTGAATGATTCTGGAATCGGAATCAGAGCATCAACCATTCAGCTGAAGAACTGTGGAAAAGAGGAATCTGAATTTCTTCTCCAGCTACTATACCATCTATACGTACTACAACGACACTTTTACCGCGCTGGAAGGCAAGTGAAAAGTTCTTTAACTTTTCTCTTCCGTGGCGTCGGTTTTTTGAGATGTACGTAATTTTTTTCATCTCAAACATCGTGACATTTTTTGTTCATTAATAAAAAATTCAAAAATTGTATAGGTATCTCAAAATTTGTATCTGAATTTGTACTCACTCCTGAATTGGTTGTGTATACATGTAATTCGTTTGAAAAAGGGCAAAATTATCCGTCCAAATGCAGATGCACACATGCAGTGTACACATTGGGGTACAAATTGAGGTACATCAAACATTTCTCTAAAAAATTAGCAATGAAATTAATAAAAAAAAACAAATAAATCAAAATCTATTAAATGTTAGGTCTTATATCGATAACTTTCCCTATATCGATATACATTTCGTCTTTCGAGTCATATATCCTATGTTTCATCTTTCAGGTCTCGAATTGATAATCAATCAATCTTCTCAGGTCTTGAATTAATAAAATCCTTTTTCCCTTGCTGACAAAACCGACTAGAAAGTCATCCCGAAAAAGTGAGTACGATAGGTAAACCTGCATAAAATCGGGCTCAGGGCGGGTTACGTGCATTGTAAGAGCGGGCCACAAAAACTATATTTATTTGTGGGTTTGGATTTTCTTTCCACAAATAATATAATTTTTTCTTTGTAATTTTACTAATGCTCACAAGTAAATTTAAAGATACTGGAATTTTCATTTCTTTGAAATATTTTAGAAATATGGTGGGAAATATTGAAATCTCATTTAGTAACCCACATTTTTAGCTTATCATCTAATATTTTTATCAAACACGTAGCTTTTTATTTCACACATTAGAATGAGTAATAATCAAAATAGCTATGGCTGGAGTTACTTTTGTGACTGAGTTGGGTGAAGTTGTTGCAAAACACTATTTTTCATGTATTTTTTCCTAATTTATTAATGAAATGTATTTTAAATCTAATTTTCCCATTCACCCGATCCAGCATCTCAGCAACAATTTGTAAAACTTCAACTGATCACGCCAATTTGACCGATTTTTAGATATTATATCCACGACTCCTATTGATTGATGGTCATCAATAATCAATAATTATAAAGATAATCATGCATTGATAATTATATGGTAGTTCTTTCATTAGGCCGAGTAAATGTAAGTCTATTTGTAATTAGATACAAACTCAAAGCAATGATTACCAATTAAACTCTAGTCTTTTTGTAAATATACAATTAGGAAAAAGTATAAACATAATTGAGAAAGAAATATAAGTTAGATCACAATTCTAATTACAGTCAGAGCATACTTTATTTTCAACAATTATATTATTGGGCTCGTTTTCATTTTCACAAGAAACATTTCTCGTGTGTCAAAGCTTCATGTTAAAAAATCAATAAATTATTAGGGAGAATAGAAGTCTAATTGTACTCTGTGAAAAACATTATTTGAACTTCTTGTTTATCAACTTTGGGAGTTCATGAGCATTTTTGATGATGCTTTTTTCGTTCTTCCTCCATTGAAATAATATTTGATTTTCATGAACATATTTTTACATTATTAGCAACTAATCATTTAACTCTAAACTCTAGATTTAAAGCATGCTAACATAGGTTGCTTAAATTATTTTTAAATTGCGTTGGGGTTACGAATCGAACCACACGACCTCAACTAGTACTCAACAATGTGTGTCCATGTAGAAGAGACGAACTATATGCTGCTTAAATTAATCGGTAACACTCTTGTGATACTCAAAAAGCACTCATTTAGAGATACTAGAATTTTCATTTCTTTAATTTATTTTAGATATTTAAAGTGTTCTTGGCCGGATTAGATATTTAAAGATATTCAATAATAATTCAATAATTCTATAGTATTATTGAATTATTATTCAATAATACTATAGAACCCGTGTGATGCATGACTTTTTTTAATATTGTTGAATAATACGAATCACACGTGTAATATAATAATTTGCACATAAGAGAGTATTTGTCTAGCCTAGGTAATATACACAAATGAGAGGGGACCAAACTAAAACCAAGAGGCATACATGATACATCTTCAAAATATGTTGAAGGAATACAACCTAAATGAAAATTAGGAGGTAAGACCTGACCCAGTTTAAAACAAAAAGATTAAAAAGAAAATTACAACTAAATACAGGGAAAATATCATTGACCCTAGACACCCCCTTGTAGGGCTGAGTCCGAAAAACCGAAAACCGAAAACCGAATCAAATTAAACCGAAGCGTAACCAAATAAAACCGAACCGCTAAAAACCGAGACCGAATGTAAAAAACCGAACCGAACCGTAGTAATTTGGTTCGGTTTTGGTTTTTACCCTTCAAAACCGATCCGAACCGAACAAACCGAACAAAAATAAAATATGAAATTTTATTTGTTAAATGTAAGCATTAATTTTAATAGCATCAATAATCTTTGAATTTCTTGTGCTAGAGAAATAATGTTTGTGCTATGTTTAATTTAGTTTATAAATGCATTTACACATTCATTGCCCATAATAATATAGCTTTATTGATCTATTATGTCTTTTATGTATGTATGTTGCAATTTGTTGCATGATTATATATTTTTACTGGTTATTAGTAGTAATTAACTTTTATTTTTATGTAACTTCTTTTTTGTAACTTAAATTTTTTATATTGATAAAACAAATAAATATTCATCTCAGCTATATCACATAAGACGTATGTATTCATAAACTTTTTTCAAACTAGTCACAAACAATGTAAATTAAGAATAGATACACACTTTTATCTCTTCACATACTCATAATTCAAGACATATTTGTTTATTATTATTTTCTTTATTTGTTCAAGTATGCTTGCATTTTTATGTAATATGTTTGATCCTTCCAACTTTTATATCAATTTTAAATCAAATGACAAATTTTTAGTAAAAACCCGAAAAAACCGAAACCGAACCGAAACAAACCAAACCAATCAAACCGTGGTTTCAAGTTTTGGAGTGTAAAACCGAACCAAACTTTTACTTTGGTTCCGTATTTGGTTTTAGGTCAAAACCGAACCGAAAGAACCAAACTCACCCCTCACCCCTACCCCCTTGATGTTTAATGTATTATCACTCACAATCCTGCACTATCAAAAATATACTCTTACTCCCTTCTCCATCCTTTAATAATGTTAAATAATTTTTAGTTTTTGTTTAGAGAATTAATAAATTGGTCTATACTAAGCACCATTCAGTGGGAAATCGAATTAAATAAATAAAAGATGATCAAACTGATGAAATTTGAAACAACCCACCTATGTTCAGATTTCGCATGTTCAATCACATAAATAGGGTTGAAAACTACATTTCTAACAGAATTGAATAAACTTGTTATAAAAGATCATTTTATTTATTCACAGAATTTTTTCTTTATGTTACTAGAGAAACTCAACCAATTCACCTGCATCCACCAGATTTCATCAATTTTAGTAGATTTAAACAATTCAATCAGTTTCAGATTTACCAAAGGGCCTCATTTCATAACAGTTAATTTTCTTCTTTTTTTGCGAGGGAACAATTAAATTTCTATTCAAAGTAAATTTAGTAATTACAGAACACTAAGTTTTTGTGTTGGTGCTCTTTGATCAAATCAAACTAAACCAAACTGAAATGAAACTAATCCAATTGTAATCAACCATTTGCGATTCAATTAGTTTCAGAAGTACTAATTCATACGTAGTACAAAACTAAATATAATAAAAAATAATAAATATTGACATATTTAAAAAAAAATAACAATTTCAACCGATTTGAACCGAACTTAAGTAACACATACTCATATAAAGTTTTGCTTTATTTATCATCCCCCAACTCCCAACCGCTTCCATTTTTTTGTCTAAAAATTGTTTGCCTCTTGTTCTACGGGCCACCCAAGGAGATGGATGACATCAGGCAAATAAAAAAAACTTCCATGATTCAAACATATCATCCATTTTCAGATACACGAGCTAGCAAAGAATGTGTTTAAAAGAGCACGTCCACAGCTCCAACAAAGCTCCAACAAATCATCTGGGCAGCACAAAATTCTTGAAACAGAAATATATGACTGTAAACTACCTGTCCATCTGCCACTGGATCAAATGACAGCATCTCTCATTCATTCCTTTTAACACAACTATCATTCTTCTCATACGGCATTTATCATTCTTTTCCTCTCACTACACCTCCTAGGATCTGGCTCATCGATCACCCTCTCTGTGAGCACGTGTTTGATGCGGCATATAGACTTTCTTACCTTGGAGATACATTCTGGATTTGGAAATCTCAAGTTTTGAGCATTAAGCATTTGACGTTGAGCCTTGAGAAGTACATACCATAGTTTGTGAAGATCATCCCAGGACTTGAGACGAAGCTCAGATGCCTTCCAACTCCGACCATACACAACAGGTTTATCATCCTCCACACTTCTATGAGCTTCAAAGAACTGCTCGAGAGGGTTATGAATTGCTCTTCTAGCTGAAGTACCAGCATCCCCAGTAGTCTCGCATTCGGCAGCAGCTAAGAATGTCCTCATAAAGAGTCAAGCCGCAGCCCGCAAGCATAGTTGCAAATAAGTTATATCACCAAGTGAAAATGAAGGCTTTCTGAATATTGCAATTCGCTAGGGTAAGACCGTCTTCTAGCTGCTTCCCGAAAAAAAAAACAAATCATAAGGGTAAGGCCAAAATAGAAGGGCGATGATGGGGCCAAAATCCGCTCCAGGGAATCGAACCCAACTCCTTCCATTTTAAAGTTTTACATACCACCAAATAAAAAATTAAAAAAAAATTAAACTGAAAAGACCAATGTTTAAAATAAACAAATAAGGAGTACTATTCTAAAAGGGCATTAAACAAAGATATGCCCTTACAACTAAGGAAATTGAAAAAGTCAAAACTAATTATAGTACTAAGCAAAACGTACTCCTATGGGGCTGGGGCAATCCAACATCTCCACATTGCGTTTTTCCTGCAAGTAAAAGGTGTATAAGAAATATTATATGTTTTGAAACAAAGAAAAAAGGTTGAGGTAAAGAATGAATGGGATTTGCAACAATGACATATATTAGCAGATCTGAAACAGCAGTGAAAGAAGCAAACGGCTCTAAGCCACAATAAAGAATAAAAGTTTCAATAAAAAAACATTCAAGGGGAGAACCAACTACAATAGCTATAGTACATTTGCCAACGAGTGGGTAGTGCCCTGATTCTTCTAGTACACTAGCAGTTCCAGAATCACAACAAGTAGGTAGTTACCTACTTCCCTTTTACTAGTACACAGGCAGCTGAAGCTTTCCTCTTCTCAGTCCTTGCTTTCTTCCCGCCCCCTTCCCTACAACCCCTAATACAAATAAGGAAACATCTTCTTTAACTGTGGCGAAGCTTTGAACTTCAGTCCGTGTGCACCTTAGTTTTAAAAAGCGTGAGGCGGCATGAGGCGTTTTCAAGATTTACCCGAGGCACGAGGCGCAAGGCGATGAGGCACGCGCCTCACGGATCTTAACATTATATATTTGGTAGAATATACTATCGTATATACTAATTCTAGTCTTCTACATAAAGCACTCATCACAAAAAATACTTCAAACTATTTAACACTCTGAATAAACATCATAAGAGAAACCAAATATTTATTAAGACAGTTGCATGAAATAAAAAATTAAACGGCATCATTCCCAAAAGTCATGTCACAAAACTCAATCTTAAAACTTCAAAACATAATTAATAAACTGTTATATGAAAAAAAAAAATGTCTTACATACTACTACGTATGTATCTGTTAAACAAAAATAATACTTAGGTACCCTACTCAGCTTGATCTAGAACAGACCCACAGAGGTAGTAACTCTGCAATTTCAAGGTAATAAAATACGAGTATAAATAATACATAAGGAGTACTTCAATTAATAAACTATCACACGCATTAGAAGAGAAGTAAATACTTACCTGCGACTACTCTGCAAGTCCTGCGACGCAAGACAGCAGCGGAAAACAGGACTTGCGAGCCCTGCTACGCGAGCAAGAAACAGCTACCGCAGATGTCGGAACTCAGAAGCAAAACAAACACAGGAAGAAGGGAGAAGACTAGAAAGACTGAATCGCCAAAAGACACATCCCTAAGGCGTGAGAAGCGCGCGCCTCTCAGATGCGCAAAAGGCGTCAAAAAGCGTCGTATAATGTGCGTCTCTTGGAACCCACACCGCCTGGGGGTGTAAGATGCGATAAAGTGCTCGCCTTAGAGCGCCTAGCGCATTCCCACTCATTTGTAATATATAGTATACCCCCATAGAACCACCTAGTCATACCCACATTTTGCATCTTACTATAGATATCCCTAAGGTAATACACAGAAGGGCAAAATTCTAAATTCTACCTTCAAATTTATCAACGTTTGAGCAGCTGAGCTACGTCAAAACACAAATCTAGCAATCGTTTTCCACTCACCAGCAAACTTCAGCATAAGAATGACATAATCACCTTTGAAAAAACAAATAATAAATTAATAATAACATAAAATTGTTGGACACATCAACAGTGAATTGGGAAACTTATAAATCAAGGACTTCTTTTTGACGAAACTTAAAACTAAAATCAAAACCAGAACAAGAGATGTTATATTGAGTGACTTAAACATCACTTCGGAAGAGAAATGTTGTATTGCAATTGAGCAGTAATTTACTGCGCCCCAGTTCTAATTAATATTAAGTTCAAACTATCTAGGTTGATTATATGAAGCATAATTAGTTAAACTTTTACTGCAATCAAGTACATATGTTGTAAGCAAAAAATTCATTAATACTTAAGAACTAATACTTAAAGAAGCAGACCTTATCAAGCATATATACTCTCATTGATAAGAATTAATATTGAGCCACATAAAATGAAAAGTAAATATACGGGACCTAAAGTTATTTTATGAAAAGATGTATAAAAACGCATTGATTTTTCAAATGGCTTCAAAATATAAAACCCACTGTGTGTCACCCGCTTTGTTTCTGTCACATGAAAAAAAAGGAAGAACCCACTGCCAGTTGCTCGACTTCAGCCAACTACGGGAATTCCATACCACCTACCAATCCTTGAGGACAAGGATTCTCTCAAGAGGGGAGAATTGTCATATATGGTCGTGATTTACTTGTTAATTTTAGTTGGGCCTCTAAAAGACTCCTGATAGCTAAATTATTAATAGAGCTATAATGTAATAAATTTAAATCCAGTTTTTTAATATTAGCAAGTGGGTTGTTATGTAGGGGTCCCCACCCACATTCTTACAAATACGGTTAGAGCACATGGGGAAAGGGACAAAATTTGCAGAATATCTCTCCTCCCAATCTCTTTGTCTCATTTGTTCTCTCTCTTCTTCCATATCTGGTAATTTATAATTCTAAAATATCACTACATCAATAAATAAGCAGATAACATCACACTATAGTACATTTGCCTATGAGTAGGTAGTGCCCTGATTCTTCTTGTACACTAGCAGTTCCAGCATTACAACAAGTATGTAGTTACCTACTTCCCTTTTACTAGTACACAGGCAGCTGAAGCTTTCCTCTTCTCATTGCTTGCTTCCATCCCGCCCCCCTTCCCTACAGCCCCTAATACAAATAAGAAAACATCTTCTTCAACTGTGGCGAAGCTTTGAACTTCAGTCTGTGTGCATCATTCCCACTCATTTATAATATATAGTATACCCCCATAGAACCACCTAGTCATACCCACATTGTGGGTCTTACTATGGATATCCCTAAGGTAATAGACGACGAACTTCAGCATAAGGACGACATAATCACCTTCAACCCCTAAATTCTACTTTCAAATTTATCAATGTTTGAGCAGCTGAGCTACGTCAAAACGCAAATCTAGCAATCATTTTCAACTCACCAGCGAACTTCAGCATAAGGACGACATAATCACCTTCAAAACGATGATATTATCAATCCACGGGATATCCACCCGATAATCCAGAAGCGGCGAAAAGGGTTGATTCAGATAAAAGACTTTAAAAGACTCCTGATAGCTAAATTATTAATAGAACTATAACGTAATATATTTAAGTCCAGTTTTTTAATATTAGCAAGTGGGTTGTTATGTAGGGGTCCCCACCCCCATATCTCTTTGTCTCCTTCGTTCTCTCTTTTCTTCCATATCTGGTAATTTCTAATTCTAAAATATCACTACATCAATAATTAAGCAGATAACATCACACTATAGTACATTTGCCAACGAGTAGGTAGTGCCATGATTCTTCTAGTACACTAGCAGTTCCAGCATCACAACAAGTAGGTAGTTACCTACTTCCCTTTTACTAGTACACAGCCAGCTGAAGCTTTCCTCTTCTCATTTCTTGCTTCCATCCCGCACCCCTTCCCTACAGACCCTAATACAAATAAGGAAACATCTTCTTCAACTGTGGCGAAGCTTTGAACTTCAGTCTGTGTGCACAATTCCCACTCATTTGTCATATATAGTATACCCCCATAGAACCACCTAGTCATACCCACATTGTGGGTCTTACGACGGATATCCCTAAGGTAATAGACAGAAGGGCACAATTCCAAAATCTACTTTCAAATTTATCAACGTTTGAGCAGCTGAGCTACGTCAAAACGCAAATCTAGCAATTGTTTTCCACACCAGCGAACTTCAGCATAAGGACGACATAATCACCTTTAAAAAATAAATAATAAATTAATAATAACATAAAATTGTTGGACACGTCAACAGTGAATTGGGAAGATGTTTGGCAGTACAAACTTGTTAAACTTGTTAAACTTGTTAATATTTCTAGGCAAAATATAGAAAGTACCTCAATAACCATTTAATAGCTGTAGTTTTAGATATTCTTTCAATACAACTATCAAATTGAGCTTGATTGATAGCTGCCCAAACCTAGAAAAACAGACAACGTAGAATGTGTCTCAATTGAAGCGGCACTAATTAAAAGGCAAATTAAAGTATAAAAAACGATTTTGATGAGACAAAGGGAAGGAAAATTACTCTCATCTTGTTCTTCTTGGCTTCTCCTTCTACTCTTTGAGTCATCAACAAAGCATAAATTACAAGAGCATTGTCTCATGTCATATGCAACAGAGTTTATACATGCATAAACAACATGATAAAAGAAGCACACACTTAGATATTTATCACAAGCTGTCACACTGTTGACTAAGAGAGAGTAAATTGAACCTGATGAAAGAAGAGGCTTTTACTTAATCATTTGACTGAAACGGACGCCACCAAATGCTATTTCTTTCAGATTTTCCTATCACAAAATAGAACACATTCAGTTATTTCAGCCGATAACAGTTATCAAACCAAACTAATTGATTTTTCAGTTCATGTTTGGGTTGCTTTACTATATAGTAAGAACAATTGTAAGCTTTTGAAAATGTGTTCTGGTGATGGGAGATTATTTCATGGAACTTGAATTCCGCAGAAACAAATATTAGTAAGCTCGAGGATTCTTTTCTTCTTATCTATGAAATTATACTCCGCATATAAATAAAACATGGGCTGCCTCAAACATTAACTTTAGGAGATAAATAAATTAATTGCAATATACAACTTGGTTCACCCATGAGATGCTTACTGAAAGGAATTTAAAAGGAATATTATTATTGTACTTCAAGACCCAAAATTATTACTTTTTCTCATTAAAGCATTTCATGGAATACCTTATATGCACCTAAAACTCAGGTAAAATTTGAGAAATAAACTCATCAACAGTGGAAAGAAGTGAAGTACATAGAATAAGGAGAAGAGGCAGGGTGCAGTAATTTCGCATACCTAAGGAGAAAAGATCGTCCCAAGTGTAATCTCCTGGATATTGATGTATATTTTGTGGAGCTCCGAAGCAACAGCCATTCTTGATTTGTTACACATCACGTTTCTGCGACTCGGTATGCTCGGAAAAAGCGGCTCAGCGATTAAAACCTGGCAACGGCGGAAGTGGAAGCAGAAACAAACAGAGGTCTTAGAGTGTTATTCGAGCTCAAGTCCAGATTCGAAGGTCTCTGTGGCGAGAGAACAAATGGTGAGCATAGTATCCGTGCCCTTCGATGGCCCCTGCGGAGTCATGAAACCAACAAACGGCGGAAGTGAGCTCTCAGCGCAACACTAGGAGAAAAGGAAGATATTTTTGTTTTTGTAGGCACAGAGCTGACAGAACAGTACATCAAGGAAGCAAAGAAACGAAGAAACGAAGAAACGGGGGAAACAAACGGTGCCCGCTGTTAGTTGGGTTTGCGGCAAAAAGGGGTAATGGTTGGGGACTGTTCACACGGCAAAACAGCCATGCTAACCCCTTCTCGCACTTCACATTTTTAGTAGATTCAATAACTTTCCCTTTCTGCTTCCTCTTTCTTTCCCGTTCCTTCTCTCTACTCTTTCACTTATACCCGTTTCCCTTTCCCCCTTTCTTCTCCTCCGCTGCTCCTAATAGAAATAAGGAAACAGCTTCCTTAATTGTGGTGAAGCTTTGAACTTCAGTCTGTGTGCACCATTCCCACTCATTTGTAATATATAGTATACCCCCATAGAACCACATTTATCAACGCTTGAGCAGCTGAGCTACGTCAAAATGCAACCCTAGCAATCGTTTTCCACTCACCAGTTCAAAATAATACCTATGAGACACCATACAGGCAAAGGGAAGTTTCACTTAAACAGCCAAAGAGAAATTAACATACTTCAGAATTGTACTAGTAACCAGCTTTAAAAAGGGAATTTGTAATTTGTAATTTAAAAGATTGACAGAGTAATTTGTAATTTAAAAAGGCTGCCGGACAGATGATAGAACTTGGATATAATCTAATTCAAACCTGAGCAAAAAAGAACTTGGATATCCTTCCAATCCTTATCTTCAAAGCAAATGACCATAAAAGTAGAAGTCTTGAGGCAAAAAAGAACCTTCTCCCTTCCTTTCCCGTTTCCCCTTTCTTCTTCTCTTTCCCGGATTCCCCTCGATTCCACTGAGGCTATTATTATACATCTATGACGCTATTATTATATATCTCAACACAAAAACATGAGTTTACAGAAGACTAAATTTCTAGTTTCAAATGTAACCAGAGTTCTGCCAGTGTTCTTATTTCCTTTGACAGAGCAATTTCTAATTTAAAAAGGGTGCCTGACAGATGATGAAACATAAGTCAAGACTAGATTTCAATGTACGAACTATCTTCAAAGCAGGAAACGAACTTGGAGAATGATTAACCCTTGTACAAGTTATTATGAAATTCAATGAAACCCGATTCTTTTATTAAATACTTAATTTTCTCTTCTCTTCCTCTGTCTTAATTTTCTTTTTCTGCTTCCTTTTTCTTCCCGCTCCTCTCTACCTTCACTTAATTGTGGCGAAGCTTTGAACTTCAGTGTATGCACCATTCCGACTCATTTGTAATACTTATGAGTTATGAGGTATTATATCTCTAGTATATGAAATTAACATGATGGACCAATACCTATGATGTGAAATTAACATACTTCAGAATCATACTTAATTAATTATTAAATAACTTAATTATTAAATAACTTTCCCTCCCTGCTTCCTATTTCCTTCCCGTTCCTTCTTTATACTCTCTCCCTTTCTTTCTTCTTTCTTTCCCGTTTCCTTCTTTCCCGATTCCCCCTTCCCCCCCCTAGACTCCGTTTCTTCCCCCCCCCCCCCCCTTTCCCCCCTCGACTCCCCCATACTGCCCCTTAATTGTGGTGAAGCTTTGAACTTCAGTCTGTGTGCACCATTCCCACTCATTTGTAATATATAGTATACCCCCATAGAACCACATTTATCAACGCTTGAGCAGCTGAGCTACGTCAAAATGCAACCCTAGCAATCGTTTTCCACTCACCAGTTCAAAATAATACCTATGAGACACCATACAGCCATACAGGCAAAGGGAAGTTTCACTTAAACAGCCAAAGAGAAATTAACATACTTCAGAATTGCACTAGTAACCAGCTTTAAAAAGGGTATTTGTAATTTGTAATTTAATAGATTGACAGAGTAATTTGTAATTTAAAAAGGCTGCCGGACAGATGATAGAACTTGGATATAATCTAATTCAAACCTGAGCAAAAAAGAACTGGGATATCCTTTCAATCCTTATCTTCAAAGCAAATGACCATAAAAGTAGAAGTCTTGAGGCAAAAAAGAACCTTCTCCCTTCCTTTCCCGTTTCCCCTTTCTTCTTCTCTTTCCCGGATTCCCCTCGATTCCACTGAGGCTATTATTATACATCTATGACGCTATTATTATATATCTCAAGTCTCAACACAAAAACATGAGTTTACAGAAGACTAAATTTCTAGTTTCAAATGTAACCAGTGTTCTGCCAGTGTTCTTATTTCCTTTGACAGAGCAATTTCTAATTTAAAAAGGGTCCCTTTCTTTCTTCTTTCTTTCCCGTTTCCTTCTTTCCCGATCCCCCCTCCCCCCCCCCCAGACTCCGTTTCTCCCCCCCCCCCCCCTTTCCCCCCTCGACTCCCCCATTATGAGAATTGAGAATTACTTTATTATTATTAGTCATAATACTATTGATTTATTCATAAGTACAGAGCGAAATCATGTATTGGGATCGTTTTTCTGATCTTAGTGATGGATGGGTGGCAATTGAACATTTAATTAATCGCTTAAAATATGTGGTAAGCCTTTGTGTTTGCTGGTATGGTAAGATATACATGTAAGTGAGATGAGAAAATAGAAATCAGCAAGCAAAAAAAATGAAAACTAATTCTATATAGATAGAAGGTTATAATTAACTCGCATTCACTAAGCCATTGAAACTCAAATACTTGACTGCAAACAGAATTTCCTGACATAGAAGGTTAAAAGCTTTTTCCACAGAAGTTTCCATGTAAGAAGACATTTAACTTTAACATACAAACATGCCTCCTACAAAATTAAGGCCCAAATTGATGGTTTTGAGCCGGCTAAAAAAAAAAAAAAAGAGCAACAACTCACCTAAGGAATGACCACTCTCTTACCTTACAAATCTCCTTTGTTTTCAGCAAGAGACAGTGTTTTTGGATTGCCTGCAAGATTCAGAAATGACATGTAGCATTTTTTGTATATAATCATTTGTGAATAGAAAGCCTTAGCATTAAAGTTACTTATTTAAAGGATTTTTATACAAAAAAGTAATTGTGGTACAAAGCTAAAATGGTTTCATAGATTATTGTGACCGAGTTCCATTAAATATAAAAGCAAGTTAAACTCTGTTAATTAAGAAACCTCCTTTTCTACATAAAAACAACATTTCACTCATCATGTTGGTTGCTTGAAAAACTATTATTAGAACGCTACTGTGGCAGCCTGGAGCATAGGTTTATGCGAGATGAAAGAGAAACAAGTTTTTCTCGAACTATTACACTTGATGTGTTCAAAAAGGCACATTTCTTTCTAGCAGGGGATCTTCTCTTACCTCCACCATCTGGTTGTCATATAATGGGATTTGGAAACCTGTCATTCAAGAGAGCTAACAGCCCTAGCATAGAAGAACAGCCCAATCCACTCCCAAAACCAAGCCAATGATTCATGCCTTCCAACAGTTGCTCAATGGTATACTTCAGTTCAGAAACATAGGATAAAAATCATACATAATAACTATCTATGAAGACAATCTAATTAATAGACATTAAGTATTTAACCATAAGGTTCTATTATTCATATTTGTTAAGAAGGCCAGTGACACATTGTTAACACGAGAGTACCAGGATGGGTAACAGGAACCTGTTCCACTTGTACATACAGAGAAGTGCAAGCAAATTGAGATTTTTTGTAAAAAATGTGGTTCTGCTGCTCAAACAATTGCAAGTGAGCCAATAAGATGTCGTCCAGACCAAATCATAAAAATAGCACCTAGACAAATAAAGGATTCTAAAAAAGATGTAATTAAGCAGGTATTCTTAACTCCAAATGCTAAACCATGAGACTGAAATCAAATTTTTGCTCAATGGGTCATATTTAATACCCTAATGTTCCGCATGTTGATTAAAGTGAAATTTAAGGTAAAAAATTTAAGAACGGTTTTAAAGAAGTATTGAAAACTATAAGAAAAAGTGAACCTAAAAAGAGATACATATGCTTATTTTGCATTAGTTTGACCTAAGTTTATGTTTCCTTGATCAAAGTCATGCTCAATTGGTCAGATTTTGGAGTACAAAAATGGGTAGGTGACTAGGTGTCACACCGAAATTAGCCGATTCAGTCTTCTTTCAGAAGAACAAAAGAACTAAATCAGATAAACACTTTTTGGTGCATTTCTGTTTGGCGTATGATGTGTTTTCTATAAACACAGTACAAACAAAATTAGAAACGATTATACATAAATTGCAGACCTATAAAGCAAAACTTGCATAAAGTCCAAAGTTTCATCTGCCATCTCCTTTGCAAAACTATGAAATGAAAAAGTGTTAAACTATAAGTGCTCAGGTATTATATCTCTAGTATTTAATAATAAGTTAATTATTAAATAACTTGACTATTAAATAACTTTCCTTCCCGTTCCTTCTTTATACTCTCTCCCTTTCTTTCTTCTTTCTTTCCCGTTTCCTTCTTTCCCGATTCCCCCCCTTTCCCCCCTCGACTCCGTTTCTTCCCCCCCTTTCCCCCCTCGACTCCCCCATAGTACTCCTACCCCCCCCCTACCCCCCCCCCACGGGGGGTTTGGCGCCACGCGGCGCCAGCGAGGCAGCATAACGCCACCCCGGGCGGCCCAGGACGGCATGGAGGCAGCATAACGCCCCCACCGCCCTAAGCCTAACCTAAACCTAACCTAGCCTAAACTAAGCCTAAGCCTAAACTAACCTAAGCCTAGCCCTAACTACCTACCTAACCTAAGCCTAATGGCGCCCAAAGAGGGAGCCCGGGCCGGCCCCAAAGGGTGGCCAGCCCAACCCAGCGGGACTTTGTCAGTCCCAAAGGGTGAGTACATCTGCAACTGTAGCCGTGTATTTATAGACCCAGCCAGGAGTCGCTCAGCCATCCGTCGCCGGTGTGGGAACCGATTTTAATTAGTGAATGGAATGCTTACTTTCTCCGTTTCTCTTCTTCCTTCTCTGGCTTGGTCGGTGTGGGAACTGATTTTAATTAGTGAATGGAATGCTTACTTTCTCTATTTCTCTTCTTCCTTCTCTGGCTTGGCTTCCTTCACCAACAGCTCAGCCTCATCTCCTTCACCAAGCCCGACGCCGCTAGGATAAGCCGCCGGATTTCGCGTTTGTCCATCGGAGGGATGGCTGTTCAGCTCCTCTTCCATCTGCCTTGCTTCACCCGCCCAAGAACCAGTGCTCCGTCACCTAGAATGACTCACTCAACTGAGCGAGGAGGAGGATCGAGGCGGCTCAAAGATGATACATTTCATTCCAATTCCAACCTTTTTCTTGTATTTGTATTGCAATTCATTCATTTTATTAAACATCTAAAATTCGTTTTATAAAATCCGCATATCTCCTTTCTAACTCATTTAAGGAATAAGTAGTATTTATCTATGTTTTAAAAACCGAACCGGACCCGCCGGGTTGACCCGGAACCCGGTCACCCGGAGCCCAATCCGGTCCGCCCAGAGCTCAAACCGCTAATGTGTACAAACTCGGAATTAACCGCTGGCCCCCCTAACCCGGCCCGTAACCCGGGACGGCCCAAACCCGGAAACTATGGAAAACCCAGTATTATACACAAAATATGAAGGCTCGGGGGTACGAACCCTGGAATCTTGGGGGATAGGACACGGCTGAATCCATTAAGCTGCTTTTCTCATGTTCGTAAAAACCGTTCTATAACCTATATAATACGTATAATATACGTTAATACATGATAAGTTTGCTCCTACTTTGTACTAATATTTTTTAGGAAAAATTGAAAATAAGAATCTCAACTATTGCCGATCCGCTGATAATAATCCCAACTGTTGATTATTTTTGTATAATCCCAACTATATGGACCGTCCGCCAATAATGGTCCATGACCAGATATTACCTCCTAAAAAATGAATTTTAAATAGAAACTATGTGTAAAAATTAAAAGTTGAGATTATTCATAGGGATTACTTGCTACATCTCTCCTCATCCACTTTAGAAACTACAAGAATTTATTCATAGGGACCATTATTGGCGGAAGGTCCCTAAAGTTGGGATTATTCTGAAATAATCGACAATTGGGATTATTATAAGCGGACCACCAATAGTTGGGATTATTACTATCAATTTTTCCTATTTTTTATATGAGACTTCTACTTTGTAATTAATAATCAGTTTAAAATTATAACATCATCATCAGTATGTACCATTGCTATTATTGTAAATGAAAGTATATGCTACGTATATAACATTTTTTTGATAAACATCATATTCATATTTATTGTCCATATATGCTATTTAAATGAATTTTATATTTATTAAATTATGAATGTGCTAGAATAATAAGTTTATTTAATATGTTGACCGGGTTATCAGGGTTTGTCCGGGTTGACCCGTGACCCAGTCATTCGTCCGGGTCGCTCCCCGGTCCGGTTTTTACAACATAGGTATTTATGTTTCACTCACTTTATCATTCATTTTCTAATTATATTCCCATTTTGACAAAAGTACCTTGATATCATTCTTTGATGTTTCTATTAATACATTACCATTATTAATTAGTTAGACAAAAAAGCGACTAGAAGTAAATATTCAATAAAAAAACGTAAGCACATGGAAAGAGCATAAAATAAAGGACCATTCCTAGTGTATACAAAATGTACACAATATGTGTACATTGCCTGTGTACACGGGCAATTCGACATCAAGTTATGTCCCTTTTTAAACGAATTGCATGTGTACACAGGCAGCTACGTGGGTTTTGTGTACAGGTTGTGTACAACTCATGTACACTAAGAATTTTCCTGAAATAAAATGTCGTGATTACCCCAACGGTTACCAAGCTTTTAGATCCAGACCTAATTTACGGGAGTTACTCGAAGTTGTATTTGAAGGTGGGTTTAATTTCACATATTGGTGTGATGCAAATAAATTACTTTGTGAGTCATGATACAGTGTTTTTTATTTATTTAGTGGAATAGAAATCAGGCCACAATAGTTTGGTTTCATTTGTATTATTTCCCATTGGAGATTTTGTGTGAGCAGTAAATATAATACAAACTATATAGTTGATAGAGTTGTATTTTTATTATGTATTATTTCTATTTTAACTAGTTTTATTTGTTGTTGTTTGGAAAATTACACGCTTTTTGTGTAATTAGTTAATTTTCTTAGATAAATGTAATTTGTTTAGATTAGGATTATTCTGAGCTTAAAACAAGTCAAGATCATCCAAAGGGATCAAGATTGGACACCAAAAGATCAAGGAAAGCGCAACGGGACAAGATAAAAAGAAGATTGAGAAAATATTTCATATACTCGGTCGGG